ACTCTCAAGAGTCTTCTCCAACACCACAGTTCAAAAGCATCAATTCTTTGGTGCTCAGCTTTCTTTATGGTCCAGTTCTCACATCCATACATGACTACTGGAAAAACCATAGCCTTGACTAGACAAACCTTTGTTGACACAGTAATGTCTCTGCTTTTTAATATGCTGTCTAGGTTGGTCATAACTTTTCTTCCAAGGAGTAAGTGGCTTTTAATTTCATGGCTGCAGTCACCATCTGCAGTGATTTTGGAGCCCCCAAAAATAAAGTCAGCCACTGTTTCCACTGTTTCCCCATCTGTTTGCCTTGAAGTGATGGGACGAGATGCCATGATCTTAGTTTTCAGAATGTTGAGCTTTAAGCCAATTTTTCACCCTCCTCTTTCACTTTCATCAAGAGGTTCTTTAGTTCTTCTTCGCTTTCTGCCATAAGGGCGGTGTCATCTGCACATGTGAGGTTATTGATATTTCTCCCGGCAGTCTTGATTCCAGCTTGTGCTTCATCCAGCCCAGCGTTTCTTGTGATATACTCTGCATAAACATTAAATAAGCAGGGTGACAAAACACAGCCTTGACGCACTCTTTTCCCAATTTGGCCTTGAAAAAGAATCCAGTAGGAGGCGGGACCAGAGAAAGAAGGGGTCTTGTAGCCATGGCGATCAGGAAGGATGGGCCTGTGGAGGAGCGGCCCCTTAACCCGAAGCTTGAATTAGAGAGAGGACAGCCCGCAGGGGTGTGAGGGGAAGAGTGTGGCTGGCAGCAGGAACAGTGAGCACGGTGGCCCTGGGGTAGGAGCATGGGATCAAGAGGGCGGGAACAGAAGACAGGCTCAAGCTGGAGGCGAGGCCCAGATCATTCAGGGCGGTGTTTCCCCATCTTTTTTAATGACTGCCCCCTCCCTCAAATTTTAATACCTTAGATATACGGTTGTTTCTATACTGTTACTGTGGTTTAGTCGCTCACTAAGTCGTGTCCGACTCTTTTGCGACCCCGTGGTCTGTAACCCAGGATCCTCTATCCATGGAATTTCCGAGGCAAGAGTACTAGAGTGGATTGCCATTTCCTTCTCCAGGAGATCTTCCCAACCCAGGCATCGAACCCACATCTCCTGCACTGGCAGATGGATTCTTTACCACTGAGCCACCAGGGAAGCCCTGTATGTATTCACAGAAAGGATCAGATGTTTCTAGGGACTTCCCTGGTGGTCCAGTGGTTAAGACTTCGTCTTCTAGTGCGGGGGTGTGTGTGGCTTCAGTCCCTGGTTGGGGAGTGAAGATCCCGCATGCCTCACGGCCAAAAAAAATCACGAACATAAAACAGGAGTGTTATAAAAATTCAACAAAGGGAAAAAAATAGTCCACATTTTTTAAAAACTTAAAAAAAAAAAAAAAGACTTTGATTCCACTGCAGAGGGCACAGGTTTGATCCCTGGTCAGGGGATGAAGATCCCGCATGCTGCTTGGCACAGCAAAGGAAAAAAAAAAAGAATAAGATGTTTCTGCTATTGAAGAATTAGTTTTTCTCCCCTTTAGGAGTAATATTGCCCCCATTGAGAATGCATGCTGTAGGGCTGTCTGCGCAATCTTAAGGATTGTGCATATGCCTGTGCCTCTTTGAGCTAAAAGTATTCAAGACAGCAGCTCTGCCGGCTGCCCCCAAGCTTCCTCATGGATGGCTGATAGATCTCAAATGTAAAATATCTGAAAACCGAAGTGCTCATTCCACTCCCCGAACCTGCGCTCCACCCCCCACTTCTGTAGCTCAGCTCCCCCTGGCTCAGGCCGGGGAAACCTGGGAGCATCCTGACTCCTGTTTCCTCTCACATCCCCCCCACCGGCTTCTCGGTCCTTCTTTCTGCCACCCTGGCCACCCCATCATCGCCCCATCGCTCCATCGCTCCGCCGGTCTGCTGCAGCGAGCTCCCAGCTGGCCGTCTCACCCTGGCTCCTGTCCCACAAGGAGCCTGCAGGGTCGCAGGTGCCCTTGAGCAAGGAGGAAGGAGAGGAGGTGGAAAAGATGCTGTGGGTGGTCCTGACGGGCGCAGGAGCCAGGCGGTGGGCTGGGGGGCCGTGGAGGAGCTTGGCCTGCTCGCGGGGCTCCGGCCCCAGCCAGCATGGGCAGACGCTGGGCCGGCACGTGCTCAGTCCCTGAGGGGCTCGTCCTCTGTCCCTCCTTGCCCCCTGCCTCCTTTCCTCCCCTTGCCAGTCTCCCCTGGGCCCTGGCCTTAGCACTGTCTCATCCCCCAGATACAGCATCTTCCTCATCAGACGCAGACTCTGGGCTCCGTTTTTTCTGCACCCATCACTGCGAACTGCTGTGTGCCTGCCTGATGCTGGGGGAGCAGGGGGAACTCAGCCGTGGACTGGTGGGCGAGGCCGCCAAGCACCACGTCCACAGTCGCTCCATGTCCAGCTCATCCTTCCTTCCCAGAGCTCCAGCATGGAGTTCCTGGGCCTCCCCTGCCATCCTCTTCCAAGCCCCTGGACTTTCTCGTCATTGCATTACCCCACATGTAATCGGATGTCTTGTGTGGACCACATTGTTGTCCACCTGGCCCGTCAAGCTGCAGGCCTCACACCGGCAGACCTGTGTGTCCCGAGTTGCCCAGTGCTCCCTCCGCACCCAGCCTGGCAGCCCCCACACCGTTGGAACGTAGTCAACGTTTGTGGGGAAATGAGCCGAGGTTGACCGCAGGGGTGTGGAGCCAGGAGGAAGGAAGTTTTTTTTTTTTTTTTTTGAGGAAGGAAGTTTGAAGCAGAGAGGGAGGTCGAGGCATTTTGCCTCCTCCTAGCCAGCATTCAGGGTCGTATCTGACGGGTCTGCCTGGAACTCGATGTAACGAGCATAGCCAGGCTGTTCTTGGGAGTCTTTATTTGGGTCTCTTATCTCGGTGGCCTTGGAGTCATGGAGGAGGGCGATGCTAGGCCCTTCTGTGGGCCAGAGCACACAGAACGTGCCTCCCCTGACGCTGGTCTGGCATTTCAAGGTCACGGCCAGAGCCAGCCGTGGGCAGTAGGATGCTGGCTGCTTCTGGGGTCTGATGAGCAGTGATAGTTCTTCAAAAACCTAGCTCCTGGGGGATGTTGCCGCAGAAACGAGGCCCCTGGGAGGCAGTGGGAGCCCCCCGCTTTGCATTCCCCGATGTTCTGCTTGGAGAGTCTGGGGAGCCAGGCAGCTCTTGCCCCATCTGCCCCACCCCCGCCCCCAGAAGCCTCTTCCCACGATCTAGGAGGGCCGGGGGGCGCTCAGGTGTCTCCAGGGCTCAGCAGTGGTCCCCTGTGAGCTCCAGGGCTGTGTGAACCTTCCGCAGCCCCTCAGCACGCCCTGGACCTCCGTCTCCATGACTCCCTTCAAACTCCCGTCACCGGTTCAGGGCCGTCTCCTTGACGGCAGCCAGGTGGTCCCTGTGACGCTGTTTATGGTAAGCATTGGAGGGCAGGGGCGCGCTGGGGAGAAGGGCTGGGAAAGCTGATTAGACCGGTCAGGAAATGACTCCCGCCCTTGTGAAACCGGCTCCGCCAAACATTTCTTTTCTCCCAGGCCATTTTACGCTTCCTTGCTTTGCCTCATCCTGTCCAGCTCCCCGCCCCCCAGCCAGACCGAATACCCTTTCCCTTCATTTCTGCCTGCTGAGTAACTTTTTGTCTTTCAGAACCAGCTCAAACAGTAGAACATCCTCTGGAGACCAACCCCCCCCCACCCCCGGCACCCCTCCCCCGCAGGCCCTCCCCACTCCACCAAAGGGTGGGACCTTTCTGTAGGTGGCAGAACCATTTGCATTAGTGAAGGCACATCCTGTCTTGAGGTCGCGTCTTTGCACGCCTGAGTCACCAGAGGCAAGAGCGGGTCTCATTCATGTCTGTAAAACCTCGTGCCCAACCTGGTGCCTGTAGGTGCTCAGCGTTGATGCCCCCCGTGAATGAATCTCTTAGGAGAAGCCTCGTAGTCAAGGTGGCCTCTGAGAGGCCTTGGCAGCTAAGTGCGGTGTGAGGGTGTCCAATGCAGAAGGCCCGGGGGACCTTTTCTTTATTCGCTTCCTTGTTTAGTATTTGTGTTTATTTGTATTTGTATTTATTATTTGTATTTATTCCTTCAAAAGGAAGCTCCGTGGGGACGGGGGCATTGTCTTTTGGGTCCCCAAAGCTGGCACAGAGCCTGGCATAGAGTTAGCAAGTAGTACCTGCTTTGTGAACAAATGGATAAAGTTCTGCCACAAGTCTTCATGGAGGAAGTGGGGTGTGGGGAGTCGCCCCAGGAAGCAAAACGAGGGGTTTCAGGGTCCGGGAGGAGGAGTGAGGAGTGCCCCGGGGAAACCAGATGAACAGACGCAGACCGCCCCGTCACCTCCCGTGGGGCGGACAGAACCCTGCCCCTGCTGGGGCACATGCAGGAGCCGGGCCCTCCGTAGGTGGGCAAGGAGAGGGGCCAGCGGTCCCCGGGGGCAAGGAGAGGGCCAGCCGTCCCCGGGTGAGGCCCCGAGACGCTGCTCGTGGGGGTGGGGAGGGACATGGCAAAGGGCCTCTGTGTCAACTCGTGGTCAAACGGACCTGCCCGGCCCCTCTGAGGAAGGGCGCCGAAAGGCAATCTGTGATGAGCGGGGCCTTTAAAGCGCTGCCCAAGTCCAGTCTTGATCACAAGAGAGGCTCTCGGGAGTCTGGAAAAAAAAACCCAAGACAGGCGTCTGTCCCGCACAGCAGGCGGGGGTGTGGGGCCACGTGCCGGCTGGCAGGGACGCCGACTCGTCTGCCGTCCAGGGACGGGTCTGAAGGCGTCCAGCGGAGGCGGGGAAGCACGGGCTCCTCCGTGTGTGTGGCCGGCGGGAGTGAGGACCCCTCCAGCATGCCCGCCGCGGAGGTCACGCCTCTGCTCTGGCCCGGCTCGTCGCCTACACTGACAGGCCCCGTCGCCGGCCCTTCCCACAGCTGAGGACGCCCGACCTCTCCCGGGGCCGCCCAGCGTGGGGACGGGGCTGTGCCGCCAACCGCTGTCCTTTGTCGTTCCAGAAAACTCCACAGCCAGCGTGAGCGAGGCAGAGAGGAAGGCCCAGGTGTATTACCGAGCCTGCATGAATGAAACCAGGATTGAGGAGCTCAAGGCCAAACCCCTGATGGAGCTCATCGAGAAGGTGCACCCCTGCCCCCGTCTCCCCCTGCCCCCGGCCCCTGCTTCCACCTGGCTTCCACCACCAGGGCCCAGCCACCTCACACCTCACCCAGCTGGACCGTGGAGTCTGCTGACGTGTGTCAGGCTGCCTGAGTGTGTGTGCACACGTGTGCGTGCATCTCTGCATCGGTGGGGATGTCTGTCACGTGTGTGTGTGTGTGCGTGCGTGTGTGTGTGTCTGGGCATCTGTGAGCGGGGCAAGGGTTTCTCTTTCTGGCTGCTTCCATTCCCTCAGAGGGGACATTTGTGTGTGCAGAGGGGTGTGTCCTGCAAGGACCCGCAGAAACTCTGGGGTCAGGGGCAGAGCCCTCCCAGTGAGGAGGGCCACACTGACCCCGGCCCCCCATCCCCCTGAGCTGAATGCCCTCCCGGGCACTGTCCAGTCAGCCTTGGAGGGGCCCTGAGGGGAGCCACCCAAGCTGGCCACGCTGCCCAGTGCACACGGAAGGGTGGGCGTGGGTGTCCCTGGGGGCCTGCTGTCCCCCTGAGGCCCCTCTCCTAGGTGGGCTCCCGGGGGGCCCTGAGGCAGGGTGGGGCACCGCGGGCTCCGCAGACAGGACAGCCCTCCCCTATGGCACAGGCCGAGAGCACTGGAAAGTCCCAACTCAGAGACTCTGTTAGACCTTAGCTCATCGACCTTGTAAAGAATATGCACCCATTTTTTTATGGGCGCAGTTGAATTTCTGCTTTAATAGGAGTACATTCACACGATTGATTATTCAAAAATGAACAGATACAGGATGGGTCAGCCACCTGGGAAGCAGGCGCCAAGTTCCCGTGACTCAGTGGTCAGAAACCCCCAGTGAAGACCGACCAGACCTCTCGTTTGCTCCTGAGGCCCAGAGAGGTCAGGGGACTGCAGAGCGCCACGCACCACGTCCGCTGCAGAAGCAGGACCCGCGTCTGGTCTCCACGCACCTCATCCCCTCCTGTCCCCTCTCCCTCCCCACAGCTCGGCGGCTGGAACATCACGGGGCCCTGGGACAAGGACAACTTCCAGGACACCCTTCAGGTGGTCACATCCCACTACCACACCTCACCCTTCTTCTCCGTCTACGTCAGCGCCGACTCCAAGAATTCCAACAGCAACGTGATCCAGGTGAGGGGCCTGGAGGTCTAGGGTGAGGATGGGCCTGACCTCCAGGCCTGATTTGCGTTTAGCAAGTGGCGGGGTGGGGTGGGGTGCAGACCTGCCGTGGCCAACAGGCTTCTGGTTTTTGAGCTTGGTGTCTCTGGCGGCTCCCCACTGAGGTTTAAGGCAGGGACGTTGGCAAAGGGCAGGCTTGCCCTTCTTGGGTAGTGGGGTACCTGCAGTCCAGGTGAATTTGGGGGTTCTGATTGGTCCCTGTGGGCCCCAGGGGTGTCAGCAAGTCCTGGGCACAGCTGGAGCCACCTCCTGGTCACCCCACCTCTGTCTCTCCAGCCTTTGTGGCTCTGATTGGCATAGCTTTGAGTCCACCTCTTCCCATCAGAACCTGCCCCAGATGGTCAGCACACCCAGGGGAGCCCCAGCCCTGGTCTGCCCACTCTCAGATGCAGAAGTGAGAAACCCAAGCCTCTCCTGGGTTTCTCCCCATGTCTACCACTCACTCACTGTGTGACCATGGGGGAGTGCCTCAACCTCTCTGGGCTGCAGTTTCCTTATCAATCAAATGAACTATAATAACACCTACTCCAGGCATGTCAGAGGGTGACCGAAGGCTCTCTTAGGAGCTATCAGGGATTGACCCTGCCTCCCTGCCCAGCACCCAGCAAGTCCTTCATGGTCACTCTCTCCTTGTACTCATCCCAGCTCTGAGGACTTGATGGTTCCCCTGTCTTCCAGCTGAAGAAGCTGAGGATCAGAAAGGTTCGGTAGCTTGTCTAAGGTGACATAGCTCTGAGTGATTCTGAACCGCTCATTATCTTAGGAAGTGGTTAATTAAACAGAGAGAGTCTGAAGAGCCTTGGAGTTTAAAGAGGAGGATGGCTCCGTCTGGCCCATGAGAAGGGCCCTGAACCCCTGCGCTGACCACATGCGTCTGTCCCCTCACTGGAGGGCCCATCCCAGGCGTGGCCCCTGCTACCAGCTTGTGCTTCTGTGTGCGCCCATCCCTCTGTTGCTATGTGCCTGCTGTCCCTGGGGCTGGTGGAGGCTGCATGGGTATGCATGCATGGGTATGTGTGTGCAGATGTCCGTGCACGGGTGTGTGTGTGCAGGTGTGCATGCATGGGTGTGTGTGTGCAGGTGTGCATGCACGGGTGTGTGTGCATGGGTGTATGTGTGCAGGTGTGCATGCACGGGTGTGCGTGCATGGGTATGCATGTGCAGATGTGTGTGCATGGATGTGCGTGCATGACAGCAGATCCCCTCTCATCCCTACCTTTCTCTCCAGGTGGACCAGTCTGGCCTGGGCTTACCCTCAAGAGATTATTACCTGAACAAAACCGAGAACGAGAAGGTGGGTGTGCCTCTTCCGAGAGAGTGGCTCCGACCCAGCCCACCTCCCTTCGTGGTTCGTCCCCCTCGGTGACCCCTCAGTATCCACGCCTCTGCAGGTCTTTGAAACTAGAGAAGCATACAGGGGTCCCTTCCCTTGCAGTCCCTAGCAGGGGGAGGGGCCTCATTTGTCCCCATTTTAGAGTGAGGCTCTTCCACGTTTCGCCCTGTGGGCGCAGTGGACAGGTGTCATCTGTCCCCGTTCCAGAGAGAGGCAGATCTAACGGCCACTACCTCTGGCCTTCCTGGTGATCCTGCAGGTCCTGAATGCCTCTGGATGTCATTCCCCTCAGCTGTCATATGCGTGTTATTTTTCCCTGGACTGTTTCAGAGGAGGAAATAAGGCTCAGAGATGCTGAGTGACCTGCTTAAGGTCACACAGCCGGCCGTCAGTGGTGAGGCTGAGATTCTCATCTAGATCCGCTGACTCCAAACCTCCTACTTTCCCCTCCCTGCCCCCGGCTGCCTCCCGTGATGTCCCAGGGAGACGTTGCCTGAGGTTCATCATCTGTCCATTCATGATTCTGCCCGCTTGTATTGCGCGAGTGCGTACTAAGTGCCTGATGCTGGGGAGACAGTGGTCTATAAGGCCAGCCTGCTTCCCGCCCCGTGGGGCTTCGAGTCTAGGAGAGGAGGCAGATGTTAAATAACTCACCACCAGATTCGAGGCATAATGAGCAATTGTGCTAAGGGAAGGGCCAGCTGAGAAGGTAACCTGAGGGTCTAATTCAGATCTGGGGGCCTGGCAGAGCAGGGTGGTTCAGAAGTAGTGTGTTCCAAGACGAGAACTGAACGGTGGCCCCACTGGTGCCTTTCATGTAACGAGCATCCCAGAGGGAGTGTGGGCCGCGACAGCAGAGACCGACCCACGTGGGGCCCTGGGTGGGCCTTATCCTGGGGGCCATGGGGAGCCAGTGAAGGGGTATGCTGCCAAAACCATTCCTGAAGCTGGTTTCCTGGGTAGAACCCCCAGCTCCCTGGCTGCCCGCCCAGGGCTGACCTGACTGCCCCCCAGCTTGTCCAGCAGGCAGCAGGTGGCAGCCGCTGATGGAAGTGGGGGGCTGGGTCCCGCAGGTGCTGACGGGATACCTGAACTATATGGTCCAGCTGGGGAAGCTGCTGGGCGGAGGGGCCGAGGACACCATCCGGCCCCAGATGCAGCAGATCCTGGACTTTGAGACGGCGCTGGCCAACATCACCATCCCCCAAGAGAAGCGCCGGGACGAGGAACTCATCTACCACAAAGTTACGGCAGCCGAGCTGCAGGTAGCCGAGCTGGCTGACGCGGAGGCTGGGGTGGCCGTGGGATTCAGAATGCAGGGCGCTGGGCTGGGGGCATGGACACCTCCTTCACCAGAACAACCCCACGAAGCACAGGAGTGGTTGTTATCACCAATTCACAGATGGCACTGAGGCTCAGAGAGGTCGAGTTGCTGGCTGAAGGTCACACAGCCGGTGACGCCAAAGCTGGTCTCTTGCTGTATTCCAGGCTGCTTTTCTGAAACCGTAGTTAGCTGGGGAGAGTCTGTGCTCGTGACAATATTGAATCATAGTGATTGGGCGTGTCCATTCTCTCAAGCTCCTTGAGCCTGGCACATAGCAAATAAACACAGCAAATAAATCTGATGTCACCTTCCTTTTACCAAGCCAGGAGGTTAGGTGATGTGCTCAAGGCCTCCAGGCTTCTAAGTGGCAGAGGAGCTAGGACCCGGACTCAGGCTTGGCTCACTGGAGCTCTGCTCTTGATGATACTCTTGACCATGGCCCCTGCGGCCTCCTGGAGCTATAGCAGGGTTGAGGTCAGCACTGAACGGCTCTCTACTGGGTGTAACCCATCTGAGAAGCCACTGTCTTCTCTGTAGATCAGTTCAGTTCAGTCCAGTCGCTCAGTCGCGTCTTACTCTTTGTGACCCCACGGACTGCAGCACGCCAGGCCTCCCTGTCCATCACCAACTCCCGGAGTTTACTCAAGCTCAAATCCATGGAGTCGGTGATGCCATCCAACCATCTCATCCTCTGTCGCCCCCTTCACCTTCTGCCTTCAATCTTTCCCAGCATCAGGGTCTTTTCCAGTGAGTCAGTTCTTCGCATCAGGTGGTCAAAGTATTGAAGTTTCAGCTTCAGCATCAGTCCTTCCAATGAATATTCAGGACTGATCTCCTTTAGGATGGACTGGTTGGATCTCCTTGCAGTCCAAGGGACTCTCAAGAATCTTCTCCAACACCACAGTTCAAAAGCATCAATTCTTTGGCTCTCAGCTTTCTTTATAGTCCAACTGTCACATCCATATATGGCTACTGGAAAGACCATAGCCTTGACTAGACAGACCTTTGTTGGCAAACTAATGATTCTGCTTTTTAATATGCTGTCTAGGTTGGTCATAACTTTCCTTCCAAGGAGCAGGTGTCTTTTAATTTCATGGCTGCAGTCACCATCTGCAGTAATTTTGGAGCCCAAAATAATAAAGTCTGTCACTGTTTCCGCTGTTTCCCCATCTATTTGCCATGAAGTGATGGGACCAGATGCCATGATCTTAGTTTTCTGAATGTTGAGCCTTAAGCCAACTCTTTCACTCTCCTCTTTCACTTTCATCGAGAGGCTGTTTAGTTCCTCTTCACTTTCTGCCGTAAGGATGGTGTCATCTGCATATCTGAGGTTATTGATACTTCTCCTTGCAGTCTTGAGTCCTCTGTAGATCAGCCTCTACCAAAGTCTGCCCCCTGGTGGCTGCTTGGGACTTGCAGGTGGTGAACTGGCCTCGATTCCTTCTTTTTTCTTGTTTATTTACTTTTTTGGCTACACGGGGTCTTAGCTGCAGCATGTGGTCTCTTTGGTTGCGGCTTGAAAACTCTTCATGGCAGCATGTGGGATCTAGTTCCCTGACCAGGGATGGAACCTAGATCTCCTGCATTGAGAGCATGGAGTCTTCACCACTGGACCCCTAGGGAAGTCCTCAGTTCCTTCTTTCTGGTTCGTGGCTTGTAGACCTTCCCCCAGGCCCCGGGGTCATAGAGGAGTCAGCAGAAAGGCCTCAATCAATCCTCCTGTTTCCTGACATCGCTTGGCTCCCCCCCCCAGGAAGGATATCCAGGCCACCTCTGCCCACCAAGTCCTGCCCATCCATTCAAGTTCAGCTCATTTTCTCTCCTTTTCGGAAGGTGTTCTTCCGAACACCTAGACCCCTGCCCCCTTTTCTGTCTCCATCTCTCCCTCCAACAAGCGTCTGTAGGACCACGCTGGGGCCGGGTTCTTGCCCTGTTTCTGGATGAGCTGGGGACACCAGCGAGGAAGCAAGCTCAATCTCATTGCCTCGAGCTTTGTGCAGAAGAGGCTGAGCCTTGGAGCTGGGGCCGGGTAGGGGGGTCTCACGCGGGGGTGAGTGGGAGCCAGGCTGCCCAGGTGTCCCGGGTGGGCACACAGCCCACACAAGCCTGGGGATGAGGGCCGGAGAGCCCGGCCTCCTTCCAGATGCCAGCTGCCCTTCCGGTCCCCAGAGAAGCTGGCATCGTGGGGAGCGGTGCTGAGTGGGTTGTTATGGAGATCAGAGGCCTGTGCTGGGCACCATCTGGCACTGTTTTTCCCTCTCCGAGGCCAGGAAGTCGAGGGAGATGCTGTTTGCTGATGCAACTTGATTTGGTTTGCTCCAGCTGCACGGTTCTCAGCCCAGAGGGGCTCCGGCGGTCCCCGTCCCCCCTACAGTGGCCACGAAGCCCGGCTGAGAAAGCAGTCGCCCTGGGTGCATCTGCCCCAGAGTGGCCTGCTGGCTCCACCCCCAGGTGGCCTTTCACCATTTCAACAGGCTTTTGCTCTGTTCTTCCAAGTAGAAAGGAAAAGCTTTTCCTCACCGCCCCCCCAGCTGCAGAACTCCCCAGGTGGGGAGGATTTTAGCAGAGGCAGCAGCCTGGAGCGGTGTGAGCAGAGGATTGCCCCAGCCCAGTCCCACCACCAGCCTTGGGCAAGTCACAAAACCCCCTCCTCCTTGAGCCTTGGTTTCCTTCCTTATAAAATGGGCTTTGCTCGCTCATCCACACCTGCTGTGTTCCAGGACACAGAGACAGATGAGGGGCACATCCTACCCTCGTAAGGGGCGTGGCTCTTACCCACCCTTTTTTTTTTTTTAAGATTTATTGTTTATATTTTTGACCGCGCTGGATCTTCGTCGTGGCTCACCTTCTCTAGTTGCAGCTAGCGGGACTGCTCTTGTGGTGCATGGGCTTCTCGTTGTGGTGGCTTCTCTTGTTAGAGCTCGTGGGCTCTAGAGCCCAGGCTTAACAGTTGTGGCACACGGGCTTAGCTGCCCCGTGGCATGCGGGATCTTCCTGGGCCAGGCAGGGAACTGGACCCCTGCTGTGGCAGGCAGATTCTCAACCGCTTGACCACCAGGAAAGCCCAGTTCTTACCTTTAAGTCACAGAAGTTTTGGAGGCCAGGTTCAAAGGTATGGAGTGTCTCCAAAGGGATGGGTACATATTACAAAATGATGTCTAAGTGTTTAAAGAAGTGGTGGACACCTGAAGCCTGGTGTGCTGGATGAGAATCTGCCCTGCCCTGCCCATGGGGTTGCATGATGATGAGATGAGGCAAAGGCTGAGATCTCAAACTTTGCAGGCTGGCCTGCAGTTTGAACATGCGACAGTCATCGTTCTTAGTACTGTTCCTGCATCATCAGTGATGACAGCCCATGTCTCTGGCCCTAAACCAATTTGACTCATTTCACCCTTGGACAGGAGAGGATGTCTTTTTGTTCCTTGGTATCTGGAGATGTAGTCTTCTTCCTACACTTCAGGTGTGGTTCTCAGAAGCTATGGCCAGCCCCAGGCCAGCCCCCAGCAGCAGAGTCTGAATTGAGGACCACGAATCAAGCCTCCTCCTGCGGCTTCTCTAAGGGGCCCGAGGACCTTCCCATTCCTTCCTAGGGCCGTCCACATCAAAAATTGACTGGGAACGAGCCCAATCCTCTGATCTAAATTCTCTAGCTGAGGTGGAATCTGGGAGCATGCGTTCTTTCCCTTTGCAAGCCTCCTTGAGCTGGGGGCTTGGTGACCAGCAGGACTTTTTTTCAGCAGCAAGTGTGGAAAACAGAGCTCATCTGTATACCTCAAAGGCTTAGAGTCACAAGTGGAAGGTCCTGATTAGTTAAAACAGCTGTCTCCATGGACACTGACCTAGGCACACGAGTTTTAAGTTAGGTGTTCGCTAAAGCAATAAAGAGTGAAAATTTTGGTAAACAGCACACACCTTATTTCAGAGTGATGGGAATTTACCTGCCTAGAACACCTGCTCTCCCTAAAAGAACAGGCTTGTGTTAAGTACATAGGGATTTATCATCACCTGTATCTCTACCCTGATCAGAGTCCCAGTCACCAGCAGTTGTATAAAGCTCTCGTTAATTGTGTAAACAGTGACATTTTGTCAACTTGGCTATTCTCCCAGGGGTCTTTGCCAGCAAGTCACGAAGTCACATGGCACTAAGTGTTGGGCTCTGTCTGACCAGCTCACCTGGACACCATCACGTTTTGCAGCCACAGAAATTTGAGGGGGAGCCCCAGAGGTTACTTGCTTAAGGAGCTCCTGCCAGGAAAAGAGAGTGGAATGGACAAGCTGGGGAAAAAAGCTCGATTTGTTGAGTGAGCTGTCCCAAGAGGCACTTGGCAGGGATTGTTGTCTCCATTGAAAGAAAGCCTGTGGAGTGACTTGAGGTTCATGGTGGGCACCCCAGTCCAGGTCTCACTCAGGACATGGCTCTTAATATTTATTTATTTATTTGGCTATGCTGGGTCTTAGCTGTGGCATGTGGGACCTAGTTCCCTGACCAGGGATTGAACCCAGGGCCCGTGCCTCAGGAGCATGGAGTCTTTGCCACTAGACCACCAGGAAAAAGTCCCTGAGAGCCATCCGCTGAATGTTACCCAGCTCACCCCTGCCCACAGGACTGGCCCCCTTCTGTCCTTTGAGGTCCTTGCTCCCCAGCCGCTGAGCTGCCCTTTAAAACCAGAGAGACGGTCAAGTGGGAGGTCTCCATGGCTGCCTGTGTCACTGAAGGCCTTGTAAGTATTTACCAGCCAGTTATGGGTCCATCAGTGTAACAGGTTGAGTTCACTTTCTTAATTGATCTTCCCGTATGAAGGCCATTTATAATGCAACTCTCACTTCCTTAATTTGTCTTTGCACTTTGCCCATTTTCAAGGGAACAAAGAACAGAATTTGGAATCAGTCCCAGTTCCACTCTTGGGAGCCTTTGATCAATGATTGCAAAGCTAATCAATGATTATAATAACTAACATTGATTGAGTGCTTGCTCCATGCCAGATACCATTGATATTAGAAGCATTTTTACTGTAACACAGGATATGTCGTCCTGAAAATCCTTTCTTCTGTAAAATTACAGGACTAAAAATAACAGAACATATGGGGGAAATAGGACTAGAGCAGACCATTCGAAAGTTGTGTAACTTTAGGACATCATGCTAAGTGAAATAAGTCAGTCACACAAGGACAAATACTGCCTGGTTCCGCTTACATGAGCTACGGAGTAGTCAGACTCATGGACCGAAGGTGGAATGGTGGTTGCCCAGGGCTAGGGCTGGGGAGATCCTGTTTAATAGAGTCAGTTTCAGTTTTTTAAGATGGAATCTGGGGATGGATGGTGAATGTACTTAATGCCATAGGTAAGGTGGTAAATTTCACGTTATGTGCATTTTACCATAATTATTTAAAATGTAGCATGACTTTGTAATCAAAACACTCCCAAGACAGTAATTGGAACCTTGGTAGAGAGCTCGGCATGGCTGGAGGCTGCCTGGGGAGTGGAATGGCACTCCCGGCTGTGGACACCAAGACCCTACAGACAGACAGACAGACAGGAGCTGTGTGTGTAAGTGGGCTGCCATTCGGCTGGCCCTGGGCAAGTGCAGCCCTCTGGGAGCTGAGTTATGCAAAGCAGGCATGTGCCTCTGTGGGGACAGAGGCCTGGGTGCAGGTGTTCCTTTTAAATTTTCTTAAAATAGAGCCGACCGGCGTCCCGTGTGTGTCTCCCTTTCTTGCTGAGGTTGACATCCTACACTTGCTTTTCCAGCTTCCGAGCCTGAGAAAGACTCCCCTGTGGACCAAAGCACTCCACACGCTCTATGGCCATCATTCTTGTAATTGACCATCATGTAGAGGACTGATCATGTAGAAACTAATGGATGTTACAGAAGCACTTGCTGAGTTGAACAGATGAGGTTAAGTTGTCTAATCCCTGCATTAACCCTATGGGATGGTTTCTATGAAGATAAGCCTCACTTTTCAAGACCCTGAGGCACAGAAAGTGAAGTGTTAGTCTCTCAGTTGTGTCTCTTTGCGACCCCATGGACTGTAGCTGGCCACAGACTCCTCTGTCCATGGAATTCTCCAGGCAAGAATACTGGAGTGGGTTGCCATGCCTTTCTCCAGGGGATCTTCCCGACCCCGGGATTGAGCCTGGGTCTCCTGCTCTGCGGGCTGATTCTTTACCGTCTGAGGCACCAAGGAAGCCCTTGAGGCACAGGGGGCTTCATCATCTTACCTGGGATGACACAGCTAGTAAGAGTATGAACGCGGGCAGTTTGGCTCCAGGTTCTGCACGCCCCCATGACACGCCTCTCTGAGGCTGTTTCTTCATCAGTAAAGTGGGGATAATGGTACCGACCACCCAGGCCTGTCGGGCAGCCTGGCTGAGAGAGGACGTGTGCCACCCGCAGTGGCTCCTGGCGTTGGAGGGCCTGACGGGCAGCTGCTGCTTCCGTCCTCGTGTCTGCTCTTCTTCAGATCTCAAGTGACCGATCGGCGTTCGGCGCCTTGAATGGGTCCTTTTGTGTAACGGGACTCTGCCAGCGGTCAGCCGGCCTGGGCCTGACGTCTGCCCAGTGCACTCTCAGCCAGCGCCCGCCTCTCCCGCTTTGTCGGTGGGTGGGGAGAGGGGGCTCCTTCTTCAGAAGAGCGACCTGGAGACCTGGGCTCTGAAGAGAGGCAGCCCAGCCAGAGTCACCCTGTCCGCTTTCCTTCCAGACCTTGGCGCCGGCGATCAACTGGCTGCCCTTCCTCAACACCATCTTCTACCCCGTGGAGATCAATGAGTCAGAGCCGATTGTCATCTACGACAAAGAATACCTGAGCAAGGTGTCCACCCTCATCAACAGCACAGACAAATGGTGAGGGCACCCAGTGCCCGGGGACGGGCCCCTCTGCTCAGCCAGGACAGGGGCACGCTGACCCGGGACATCGGCCCTCGGGCTGGCTTTTTTTTTAATATTTATTTGGCTGCGTTGGGTCTTAGTTGCAGCACTTGGATGGTTTTAGTTGCAGTATGTGGCATCGAGTTCCCCAACCAGGGTTCGAACCAGGGCCCCTGCTTTGGGAGTACAGAGTCTTAGCCACTGGACCACTGGGGAGGTCCCCTGGGCTGGCTCTTCTGAGAGGCTGCAGGACACCCTGTCTCCTCCACCGGCCCCCTTGGTGGCCTGGGGCACGTTTCTTTCCCTTCATCGGGTTCATCTTCCTCATCCATGAAGTAAAGATACAAATAGCACTTACCACACAGGGTTGTTGTGAGAACTGAGTGAAACAATTGGTGTGAAGTGTGTTAACACAGTGCCTGACCCCGAATGGGACTCAGTAAATGTTCGCTAACACTTTTAGTTAATATTTATGATTGTTTTTAATTTTAAAGATTTGTTGTAGGGAATTCCCTGATGATCCAATGGTTAGGACTCTGGGCTTCCATGGCAGGGTCCCAGGTTCAATTCCTGGCCAGGGAGTGAAGATCCCACGATCCTTGTGGTATGGCCAAATAAAAAGGACGTGTTATAGAAAATTTTTTAAACTACAGAAAAAAGGCAACAGAAATTAAAATTACCCAGAGCGCCATTGTTGATCTTATGGGATGTGTGTGTGTATGTGTTTGTGTGTGCATTTGTAGAGAGAAGCTTGGATATGTAAGTGAGAGAAAGAGAGAGATGGATGTTCTAATATATCATTCCTTTTTTTCCCCCATCATTGTGACCACATGGATAGTTTGCTTTTCCTTAACATTTATCATAAACATCTCCCCATGTCAACCCAGGCCCTCTGCACATCTCATTTTCCATAACTCCATGATAGTCCATCGAGTATAAATATGATTATTTATTCACCATTCCCTGTTGTCAGACATTTGGTTGGTTCCGGTTTGAGGCTGGCATTATAGTGCACACCCTGTGTGGGTGAAGGTGACTTGCCTACAAAGGTGGTATCAGCCCCTGATGACTGTCTGCGCTCCGGGGGCGGGGGCAGTGAGAGCTCCCATTCATGGAGACTTGGGCCCGGCCGGTCAGAGTGTCCTTCCCTGCCCACCCGATTCTTGGGCCCTTTTCCCATCTCTGGCCTCCTGGCCGGGACACCCTCAAGCTTTGGAAGTGGCCACCCATCCCTTGCTTTGGCCGAGCGGCACCCACCATCCCGAGTGCGTGTCTGTGGCCCCTCGAGCTCAGCGGGGGGCTTGCTGCGTCCGGCCCCGGGCACGTCTGAGCCTGCCTGTGCTCCCGCTGCAGCCTGCTGAACAACTACATGATCTGGAACCTGGTACGGAAGACAAGCTCCTTCCTCGATCAGCGCTTCCAGGATGCCGACGAGAAGTTCATGGAAGTCATGTACGGGACCAAGAAGGTGAGCCTGGCAGCGTGCGTTTCCCCCGCTCACGCTGAGCGCCTGCTGGGCACCAGGCCCTGGAGCTCACAGGGAGGGAGGTGCCAGGCTGCGGAGGAAGAGGGCCGCCCCAGGGGTCCGCCCTGGTGTCCGCCAGCGCGTGGGAGGGGACCTGAGGCAGCGGGGTGGCCAGGAGCCCCCAGGAAGGGGCGGTTACACTGAGTCTTCAGGTATAAGGGCTTCCTTCCCAGGAGGCTCAGCGGCAAAGAATCCGCCTGCCAAGGAGGAGGCTTGAGTTCGATCCCTGGGTCGGGAAGACCCCCCAGAAGAAGGAAATGGCGACCCACTCCAGTATTCTTGCCTGGGAAATCCCGTGGACAGAGGAGCCTGGTGGGCTACGGCCCACGGGGTCGCAAAGAGTCAGACACGACTAAACTACAAGTATAAAGTAAATCCAGAGGTTTAGCTAATTTACTGCAAAAAAGTGGCTTCGGTTCTCTCGCTGCTGACTTCTCAGGTGCGATGGGTCTAAGGCTTTCCTCGTGCAAGAGCGCTCACATGACTGTCACATCCCTGCAGAGTGGGTACCACCCTCAGCCGCCTTTTACACAGGGGCTCTCCAGCTCCAGTAATCCTACTTCTTCCCCATACATTTAAAACCCTTGGAGCAGCCCCCTGACTCCTGGAAAGTATGACACCAGTGTCCACCGATGTTATTCTCCTCCCAGGCCCCAGTTCAGGGGGTCTCTGCTACTTAAAATGCCCCACTGTGACGCCTGCCCACCAGCTACTTCCACCTTCTCCAGGAAGCAGAGGTCATCTCTGTCTGTCATGGCCACCTACTATGTGCCCACTGACCCGTGCCATTGTGTGCTCCGAGCCCACTGTGCCCACACTGAGGTGGGGGCTGTGCCCGAGGCCCCCGTGTCTGCTGAGGGAGCTGGTAGAAACGGATCAGCCCTCGCAGGTGTGGAGGGGACCCCGAAGCCGAGAGGTACCCCATCCGCAGAGCAGGAGAGGCTGGAGAGCCAAGCCTTTGGCCAGCGTGGCCTGCCCCCACCCAGGACCACAGCTTGCAAGACCCCAGGGGGCGGGCACAGCTGGCTCCCCAGGGCTCTGCCCCGCCACCCCGCCCAGGGTCCAGGGGGAGTGGGTGGGGCCAGATCAGGACTCAGGGGATGGCAGGATGTGGGTCTCAAATTTCCTCCTGGGGCAGGGTTCTCCATGTCCCTCTCTCTGGTGGGAAGGGGGCTGAGGAACAAGCCCTGATCCTGATGAGAGGGGCTCCTCAGCCTGAGGGCCGCCCTGGCCCTGCAGGGAAGGGAGGGGAAGAGCTGGCTGCCCTGCCCGCCTCCCTGCTCCAGCTGCTCCTCCTGCCCTGGGCCAGCCCTGGCGGAGTGCCTGGGTCCAGACCTGAGCAGGCTGGGACTCTGTGCCCTGGAGCCCTGGGCCTCCCGGGGGCCTTTATACAGGAGGGGCCTGACCAGGACCCGGCATGGCACTTACTGAGACGGCCCTGTGTATGGAGAACACATCTCCACCATTGCTTTCCCCCCACCCCTCGGGTTACAGATGAGAAAATTGAGGCTCAGGGAGGTCAGGGCTTTCCCTCGCCACCTTGCAAGGAGGCCGTCAAGCTCAAATTCAAACCCAGATCTGGATGACTACAAATTTTAGTATATTTGGCTACTCACTATTAGTAACAATAAATAAAAAGTAGCCTTGTTGGATGTTTACCTTTATAGACATTATCTCCCCCAAGTTCCTACAGTAGTGCTCTGTGTTGGAAACTACTACCATCATGCCATTTTACAGATGAGGAGACCGAGGCTCAGTGAGGCGAAGGGACTTATTCAGAGTCACACAGCTCCTAAGTGGAGAAAGTAAAAGTGTTACTTGTCCAGTCGTGTCCACTCTTTGCAACCCCGTGGACTATAGTATAGTCCAGGCTCCTCTGTCCAAGGGATCCTCCAAGCGAGAATACTGGAGTGGGTTGTCATTCCCTTCTCCAGGGGTTCTTCCCAACGCAGGGATTGAACCCAGCTCTCCTGCATCGCAAGCAGATTCTTTACTGTCTGAGCCACCTGGCAGTTCCGTAAGTGGAGAGTGGCTTTCAAACCCAGCACGTCTGATTCCACAGCCTGTGCTTCTAAGCTCTGTACCACTCAGCTTCTTCTCTGCAGGAACCAAAAGTCACGACTGAGCATCCTGAGAGTTGCCAGGGGCAGCAGGTGGGGAGGGCAGAGTGAGGAGTTGTCAAACAGGTACAGAGTTTCAGATCTGCAAGGTGAGAAGTTCTGGAGATGGGTTGCACAACCGGTAAATATAACACTGCTGGACTTTATACTTAGAGTTCCTTGGGCCAGGCTCAAAGTGCAGCTGCCGCTCTGACCAATGAGATGCTGAGAGCTGGTGGGACACACGGAGGCCTGGGCAGAGGCAGGGGCGGCTGGGAGATCCTGAAGGTGCGAGGCTCTGGGCCGGCGGTCACTGGATGCCCCCAGATGGAGGGATGAAAGATACTGCCTATCTGTTTCTCCTTCTCCAGCCCTCCTCACCCCCCGTCATGACTGCTCCTGGGTCCTGGCCGGGTCCGCCCAACTTATGTCCAGCACAGCTCAAATCACAGCTCCACTATGTGACCTTGGGGAGTCCTGGTGCCTCTCTGAGCCTCCGTTTTCTCATCTGTTCTTTGGGATCATTCCTGACCTCATCTCACAGGACCCTGGGGAATGGCCTCCATGTGGGAAAACACTTTTAATTCCCTAAAGATTTATAGAGCGTCCTGTTGTCCATCGATATAGGGAGATATACAGAACTTTGCGTCAGAAGATCTGAATTTACAACCACAAAACCTTTTTTGTATATAATTTTATTTATGTATTTTTGGCTGCTCCGGGTCTTCCGTTGCTGTGTGCAGGGGCTTTCTCTAGTTGCAGTGCTCTAATTTCTGGCTGTGGTGACTTCTCTTAGTGGGGAGCACGGACTCGAGGTACACGGGCTTCAGTAGTTGTGGCACACGGGCTTAGTTGCCCTGTGGCATGTGGGATCTTCCCAGACCCGGGATTCAACCCATGTCCCCTGCCTTGACAGGCAGATTCTTTACCGCTGGACCAGCAGGGAAGTTCCTAACCACACAGTTCAGTTCAGTTCAGTTGCTTAGCCGTGTCCGACTCTTTGTGACCCCGTGGTCTGCAGCATGCTAGGCCTCCCTGTCCATCACCAACTCCCAGAGTTTACTCAAATTCATGCCCATTGAGTCGGTGATGCCATCCAACCATCTCATCCTCTGTTGTCCCCTTCTCCTCCTGCCCTCAATCTTTCCCAGCATCAGGGTCCAAGAGACTCTCAAGAGTCTCCTAACCACACAGCCTTGGGCAGGTCACTTCATTAGATCAGGGAGTTTAGTCTTTCTCTCTGTAAAATGGGATAACTCATCACTGCCCTGTTTACCAGAGGGCTGACTGGGATTACGCAGGGGGATCCGCACAAAGTCTGCTCTAAACGGTACCACATTCCACAAAGGAGCACAGAGAGAACCTGCCTCGTAGGGTTGTATGAGGGGTCTAGGGGACAGGGCCCAGAACCCAGTGCAATTCAATCGCTCAGTCGTGTCCGACTCTGCGACTCCATGGACTAGAGCACGCCAGGCCTCCCTGTCCATCACCAACTCCCAGAGCTTACTCAAACTCATGTCCATCGAGTCAGTGATGCCATCCAACCATCTCACCCTCTGTCGCCCCTTCTCCTCCTGCCCTCAATCTTTCCCAGCATCAGGGTCTTTTCTAATGAGTCAGCTCTTCGCATCAGGTGGTCAGAGTATTGGAGTTTCAGCTTCAGCATCAGTCCTTCCAATGAACACCCAGGACTGGTCTCCTTTAGGATGGACTGGTTGGATCTCCTTGCAATCCAAGGGACTCTCAAGAGTCTTCTCCAACACCACAGTTCAAAAGCATCAGTTCTTCAGCGCTCAGCTTTCTTTATAGTCCAACTCTCACATCCACACATGACTACTGGAAAAGGTCCGTATAGCTTTGACTAGATGGACCTCTGTTGGTAAGGTAATGTACCCAGTAGACGTTTAATAAGCATTAACTACTGTCGCTGATGCTGTTAAGCTTGTTGTGCGTCTGCTGCTTCCCCCAGGTGTTCTGGGTGCTTCAGCTGAGCTGCTTGAGGGCAGGACCCAGCACTGTCAGGGTACAGCTGAACTGCTCAGAGAACACTGGCTGTGTGAATTAATGAGCACAGACCTGAACGGATGGGTCAATGCAGAGAGTCCCCTGAGAAGACAGTGAGTAAGACCTGTCCCATCATCCAGCTGCCCCAGCCTGGAGCCATCACAGAACCCAGAGCTGCAGTGCTCTGGTCCTGACCTCCTGAGCGATTAGCCTCTGCAGCTGGGGCAGGTGAGGCACAGGGCTGGGGGGGTTTAAGTGGATTTAACAGCCAGGAAGTGAAAGAGCTTAGGAAAGGCCACAGGGCCTTTTTCTTTCTTCCCTCTGGTGTGTAAGAAACTTTTAAACTAAAGCATAATTTGTTATTGTTTTTGTTTGGTGGCTAAGCCCTGTCTGACTCTTCTGCGACCCCATGGACTACAGGCCATCAGGCTCCTCTGTCCATGGGATTTCCCAGGGAGCAATACTGGAGTGTGTTGCCATTTCCTTCTCCAGGGGATCCTCCCAACCCAGGGATGCAACCTGAGTCTCCTGCTGGGCAGGTGGGTTCTTTGCTGAGCCACCTGGGAAGCCCAGCTCTAGTTTACATACAGGTAGATGGGGAGACAGGGGAAACAATGAGAGGCTTTATTCTGGGGGGCTGTAAAAATACTGTAGATGGTGACTGCAACCATGAGATTCAAAGACACTTACTCCTTGGAAGAAAATTATGACCAACCTAGACAGCATATTAAAGAGCAGAGCCATTACTTTGCCAACAAAGGTCTGTCTAGTCAGACCTATGGTTTTTCCAGTAGTCCTGTATGGACGTGAGAGTTGGACTATAAAGAAAGCTGAGCGCTGAAGAACTGATGCTTTTGAACTGTGGTGTTGGAGAAGACTCTTGAGAGTTCCTTGAACTGCAAGGACATCCAACCAGTCCATCCTAAATGAAATCAGTCCTGAATATTCATTGGAAGGACTGATGCTGAGGCTGAAACTCCAATACTTTGACCACCTGATGTGAAGACCTGATTCATTAGAAAAGACCCTGATGCTGGGAAAGATTGAAGGCGGGAGGAGAAGGGGGCGACAGAGGATGAGATGGTTGGATGGCATCACCGACTCAATGGACATGAGTTTGAGTAAACTCTGAAAGTTGGTGATAGGGAGGCCTGGTGTGCTGTGGTCCATGGGGTTGCAAAGAGTTGGACACGACTGAGTGACTGAACTGAACTGAACGGACTAAAAATGTGTACATTAAGTATGCAGTTCAGTGAGAGTTGACAAATGAAATCGCTCCTGCTACCACCAGCCCAATCAAGGTAGAGAGCGTGTCCATCACCATGTGTCCAGAGTGCTCTGTGTAGGAGGTTCCCTTGCACCCCCATCGGTCCCCCACCAGCCCTGCCCGCCCAGAGGTGGGTGTAGATAGAACCACACACCGTGCGAGCTGCTTTTTGCTCAGCGTAACGGCACTGGAGTTCATCCACGTTGTGTCGTCTGCCGCCCCTTCTCCTGTTGCCGAGTGGTGTGCTGTGGCATAAAAATGCCACATTTTGCTTGTCCGTCTGCCTGTCGACGGGCATTTCATTTGTTTTCAGTTGATGGCTACTGTGAAGCAGGCTGCGTTGAGTCTGGGTGGTTTTCACCACCTGTTCTTCCTAGTTAAGAGGACCCAGCTTCCTCTGCAGCGCAGCGGTTGCATGAGCAGGGCCGCCGCCTGTGGTCACAGGGACTGTCCACAGAGGCGGCCTGGGCGGGCGAGCGGGCAGCGCTGAGCCCAGCTGCCCCGTCTCCCCAGGCCCGGCCCCGTGAGGCTCCAGCCCAGCTGCCCCGTCTCCCCAGGCCCGGCCCCGTGAGGCTCCAGCCCAGCTGCCCCGTCTCCCCAGGCCCGGCCCCGTGAGGCTCCAGCCCAGCTGCCCCATCTCCCCAGGCCCGGCCCCGTGAGGCTCCAGCCCAGCTGCCCCGTCTCCCCAGGCCCGGCCCCGTGAGGCTCCAGCCCAGCTGCCCCGTCCCCCCAGGCCCGGCCCCGTGAGGCTCCAGCCCAGCTGCCCCGTCCCCCCAGGCCCGGCCCCCTGAGGCTCCAGCCCAGCTGCCCCGTCTCCCCAGGCCCGGCCCCGTGAGGCTCCAGCCCAGCTGCCCCGTCTCCGGCCCCCAGCGCGCCCTGCGGGCTGGGGGCTTGCGGGTGAGACCGAGGTCGGGTGAACACGTCCAAGTCCTGCAGGGTCCCGGTGGCGGCTCTTTCTCCAAGGGGCTTTGAATGGGGCTGCAGCCCTTCTGGGGTGTTCCGTTACTTGGGGGGTGGAAAGGGAACTTCCCAAGGTTCTTTGCGACCAGGATCCTTAGCATCCTCCAGGAGAGAGGAGCGGCGTGGGGTATGGAGTCCGGCACGTCATGGTTCCGGCGGCGGGGGCCTCTGGACCAGCGGCTTCCCCTTGCGGACTTTCTTTGTCCCCATCTGCCTCCCAGGTCTGTTTTGGTGGCTCTGTAGGACACATCGGCATCTGTGGAGCGCACTGCAGGAAGCGGTGGATGGCAGGGATCAGGGTGATCCCCGGGCCTAAAATAACTTCCGCTGCAGGAAAGGTCTCCCTCCAGTTCTGGACGGAAGCACAGACCCCGCTGTCCCGCCTCCCGGACACACAGTGCCAAGAAACCCCTCTGACTTGTGTTTTCCAGACCTGTCTTCCCCGCTGGAAGTTTTGCGTGAGTGACACAGAGAACACCCTGGGCTTCGCCCTGGGCCCCATGTTCGTCAAAGCGACCTTCGCCGAGGACAGCAAGAACATAGTAAGTGCCCCCGCGCGCGGAGGCCGTGACGTCACACCCGCCACCCCCGTGAGCCCGCCAGGCCACGCTCTCATCCGCTTTGGACCAGCCCTCCCCCGGGCCAGGGCTCCAGCCCTAACTCCAAGGTTCCATTTTCTAAAGCCTTGCATAATCTGAGTTACCTACAGTAGAGAGTACGATCACAGTGGCAGGTCCTTTGTCTGTGGGATTTCATGTAGCCCTCCTGGCTTCCCAGGGAGGTTGGTCTAGCCATCTCCACCTCCAAGGGTAGGCAGGGCCCAGAGGGGTCATGTTGGCAGAACAGCTTGACATGAAATGATGGCGGGCAGATGACACCTGTGGCTGAGCATCTGGAGACAGCCGGGCCCCAGCCGGGATGCCGGCTTTATCTCTTCCTGGTGGGGGGTCTTGGGACAATACTCTGACCCCATGGACATGGAGGTGGGTGCATCCATCCTGCAGGCGGAGACTGAATGGCATTGTGCACGTGGAGAGCAGCTGGCACAGAATAAGGGCTCAGGGAGCGGTAGCTGCTATGTCATTCTTGTTGTGGTTCAGTCGCTAACTTGTGTCCAACTCTTTGCGACCCCACAGACTGCAGCACGCCAGGCTTCCTTATCCTTCACCACTTCCCAGAGTTTGCTCAAACTCATGTCCATCGAGTCGGTGATGCCATCCAACCATCTCACCCTCTGTCGTCCCCTTCTCCTCTTGCCCTCAGTCTTTCCCAGCATCAGGGTCTTTTCCAAAGAGTTGGCTCTTCGCGTCAGGTGGCCAGAGTATCGGAGCCTCAGCTTCAGCATCAGTCGTTCCAATGAACATTCAGGCTTGATTTCCTTTGGTCCCATTTTTATTACTAACTCTAACTGCACAGATTTTTATTTGCAGTCAGAGGTTAGCAAACTGACTCAAACCTCTTACATGACCTTGCTGTTAGTGGCGGAGATGCAGATTCTGAGTCGAGTTCTGTCTGTCTTCAGTCTGTCTGCTCCTCCTGCTGCCCGACTCCCCCTTCCTCTGCTCCGGAGTCTTTTTCAGCCTCTGGATCTGCTTTTGACATTCATCTCCAGCCTGAACAGAGTCTTTCTGGACCCACCCCTCAGAACTCAGCTTCTCTAGATTTTAAAGCCCAGTCCATCCGAAAGGAATTCCATCATCCGATAACTCTGAGAACAGCTACATGTCCTAACATCTCTGAAAAGAATAGCAGGGCATGGCGCTCAGTAAAGGCACTGATAAGTCCTGCCATAAGAGTCTTTTCCAGTGTTCCCAGAGCTTGCCCTGAGTGTAAGTGACCAGGGAGCCCTGTTTATAGAAATCTACCTCATCTCACAGGATGCTAGCATTCAGAGGAAGGAGGTTGGGGGACCGAGGCTGTGGACCCCCTTCCTCAGCCCAGCACCTCAGAGCATGAGGCCTGGAGCCAGGATCTGAGTTTAGGCTCTGGCCCCGCGGCATCCTTCTCCAGGAGATGTCCGCTGCCCATGGGCAAGTTCAGTACCAAAACCTGTCTCCTCAGGCCAGCGAAATCATCCTGGAGATCAAGAAGGCATTTGAAGAGAGCCTGAGCACCCTGAAGTGGATGGATGAAGATACTCGGAAATCGGCCAAGGAAAAGGTGAGGCTGGCCGGGAGCTGGGAGGGGCCCCGCACAGAGGGCAGCGACCTCAGAGGAGGAGGTGGACGAAGGAGGGACTGGCTCTATCCGGTGAGCCCACGATGGATGCCGCGGGCAGTCCAGCACGATGGGGGGAGAGCCGTGAACACATGGCTCGGATTAATGACTGGGTGGAAACAGACCGTGCTAAGTGTGCAAGGGAGGGACTTCCCTGGTGGCCCAGTGGCTGAGACTCTGCGATCCCAACGCTGGAGGCCCGGGTTCAATCCCTGTTTGGGAAACTTGATCCCTCGTGCTGCATCTAAGACCTAGCACAGCCAAATAAATATAATTAAAAAAAAAAAAATGTGTGCAAGGGAGAGGTGCAGAGCGATGTGACGGTGGATTGGACATGGCCCAGAGCAGCAGGGAGGCCACGGAAAGCTTCCTGGGAGAGCTGACATTGAGGCAGAGATCCCAAGGATAAGCAGAAGTTAGACAAGAGAAAGGGGCGTGAAAGCCCTGAATGGGGAGGAGCCTGGCCACTTCCCCTGGGCCCTGACCTTGAGCCCGCCACCCACAGAGCCCTGCTGGGTGCTCACTGTCCTCCATGTCTCTCCTGCCCAGGCGGACGCGATCTACAACATGATAGGCTATCCCAACTTTATCATGGACCCCAAGGAGCTGGACAAAGTGTTCAATGACGTGAGTGGCTCCCTTGCCTTCTGCCCCCTTGCATTCCTGAAATGCCCCTGGGGGGCAGGGATAGGGCAGAGGCTGATCTGGGTGGGCTGCTGGAGGCACCATGACTGTCAAGACGTCTTGAGATGAAGTGGTGTGGGGTCTGGGGATGGACTGGGCACCAGGGGGCCAATCTCTCCTCCTTCCTCCCTGGGGCCAACCGGTGGCCCCTGCCCCCCAGGACCCACCAGCAGCCCTTGGCCAGCACAGCACAGTCCGCTCCATTCAATGAGTGGGAGTTAATGGGGGAGGGGGGCAACCAGATCATAGAAGGCATAGAGATAATCTGCATCCCTAAAAACATCAGAGTGGAGCCCCTAAACCTCCCAGCCCCCAGAGAAACCTGGACCTGCCTCCTGTCCCCCAGCTTCTCCCCACCTCCCCAGAGAAACCCGGACCTCTTGTTCAGACTTTGAAATGCTAATGGAAAGGAGGAAGCTTAAACCCCAGATGCACGTTTAAGCTTAATTTAGGCAGCAGGGCGTCCCTGGTGGTTAGAGCTTTGGGCAAATCACTCCGTTAAGTGGATTGTGCTTCTGCCCCGAACGTTTTATACCATGTAATTGAAATTTGTGAATTCAGGCATTTGTGAAATTATAATAACCTCTCATTATGGTTATATTTAAAACCTAAGAATATGAAAATTACGGCTGAGAATATGGGACTCATACAGCCTTTTTCCTTGAGAATAATTTTAGATGCTCCAGGGTATCATGATACAAGATGAGGGGCTCCTGGAGACAGCCCAGGCAGACCCTGTCTGGATTAGAGGCTGGACCCCAAGCGCCTGGCCTTTCACTGGAGCCCTGATGTAGAGAGCAGGTCTGAGAGAACCTCACACCTGTGGCAAGAGCCGAAAGGCCAGGCTGAGTGGGGAGGAAGGGGTGCAGGCATGCCTGCGCCCTAATAGTTCACAGATCCCCCTGGATTTATGAGATCTGTGCTGGCCCGTGTGGCAGCTACTAGCCACAGATCCCTACTTTAGTGAATTAAAATCAATTAGTTCATTAAATTAAAAGGTTGCACTCACCACATTTGAAATGAGGTGGAGCCACATGCGGCTGATGTCAACCATACCTGACAACACACGTATAGAGCCTGGCCATCATCGCAGAAATTTCTGGACCCTGCTGGACGTACGTGCCAAGGCCCTGGCACGATGGCAGGGGCTTCCTGTTGCCCCGAGGCCCTGCTGGGCCGCCCCAGGTGAAGCTCTTACTGTGTCCTTGAAGGGAGAGGACGCCAGCCCCCGGCCAGGATGAGGGCCAAGGGAAGAGCCCCAGCCTGCAGCCCCGAGCCCCCCGTTTTTGTCTGCCCTGAGGACCAGTGCCCCGGCCACGCGGGGTTTCAGCCTTCTCGGTTTTAGAAGACGGGGTTTGCGTCCGAGGCCCTGAGCGTGCTCTGACCCTGTGGCTTGCTCCCTCCTGCATAGTACACCGCCGTGCCAGACCTCTACTTCGAGAACGCCATGCGGTTTTTCAACTTCTCCTGGAGGGTCACTGCCGACCAGCTCCGGAAAGCGCCCAACAGAGATCAGTGAGTCCCCGGGCCTCGCTGGGGGGACGCTGGCTCCCGCAGGCGGGTGTGGGGCCCAGCGCTCCTTCAGCCTGAATCGTGTGCGGGGATGTAACTGTCCTGCCGGCCCTCTGAGGTGTGGGGACTGCTGTTATCCTGCTCGCCTGCCAGGAGCCGGGGTCAGCCTGAGTCCGTGTGTCCTTAGAGTCCGGCCTGTTGGCAGAGGGGGGTCCACCTGACCTCACTGCCCAGCTCTGCCACTGCGACTGCGGTGTTCAAGCCTTTGCTTCACTGTCTGCAGGTGTGTGTGTGTGTGTGTGTGTACGTGCACGTGCTTCACTGTCTGCAGGTGTGTGTGTGTGTGTGTGTGTGTGTGTGTGTGTGTACGTGCACGTGCTTCACTGTCTGCAGGTGTGTGTGTGTGTGTGTGTACGTGCACGTGCTTCACTGTCTGCAGGTGTGTGTGTGTGTGTGTGTACGTGCACGTGCTTCACTGTCTGCAGGTGTGTGTGTGTGTGTGTGTGTGTGTGTGTGTGTGTGTGTGTGTACGCGCACATGCCCAGTTGTGTCTTGACTCTTTGCAACCCCATGAACCGTAGCCCACCTGGCTCCTCTGTCCACAGGATTTCCCAGGCAAGAAGACTGGGGTGGGTTGTCAGCTGCTACTCCGGGGGTCTTCTCGGCCCTGGAATCAACCCCGCTTCTGTGTCTCCTGCGCGGCAGGCTGCTTCTTCACTTGCTGAGACGTCAGGGAAGCCAAGGGGTGGAAGCCGCCTCTTTCTCTTTGCCCCTGGTTCCCCCTTGTGGACAACAGGGGTTAGGACATCTCTGTCTCTTCTGTCTTCATCCACGGTACACCCTAAACATACAAGAAAGTGGTCTTTTATGTCCAGAATATGCTGCAGGCACTACCCCAGTGCTGTGAATTTACTAGAACTCTTTTAGCTTAAACTTTTCCGTTTAAATTAAGTCTCCTACTCATTAATGTATCCATGCTTAATGTATCCAGGTGGGACTCACCTGGAGGAGACATAGTGACTAGCTAGGCTCTCGGAGAAAATATCCTTTCTGGCTCACTCCACTCCCCACTGGTCCTTCATATCGGAACAGTCATTGGGAGGCCAAAATTTTCATTAGTATCTACCATCAGAGCCTCTTCTACACTCAAAAAAAATCATTGAACCCCCAGAAGCTTGTTTATGGGGATTGCACTGACTTTTCTGAAAATTTTATGAAAAAGAACTGTTTTTTTTTTTTTTTAAAGAACTGTTTTTTAAAGTTTACTAAAAAGAGAGGGATTGTTTTACTTTTTACAAGTTTCTTTAATGTCTGGCTTAATGGAAGACAACAGGATTCGCACGTCGGCTCCTGCCTTCAGCCTGCTGCAATATATTGTTTTGAAATATGTAAAGATATTCTAGCCTTACACAGACATGTAGTTAGAAAAGGAAAGAATATTTTAACAGTCTTTTTCATACGTATGCACATCCTTCATTGATATTACTCCAAAACGTGACAGGTAGTACTTTTTTTTAATTAATTTTTATTGGTGTATAGTTGCTTTATAATATTGTGTTAGTTTCTACCGTAAGGAAAATGAATCAGCTATATGTATACACACCCCTGGTTTTTCGGGCTTCCTTCCCATTGAGGTCACCTCAGAGCCCTGAGCAGAGTTCCCTGAGCTATACTAGGTTCTCATTAGTTATCTATCTTATACACAGTATCAGTAGTATATGTATGTTAATTCCAGTCTCTCGATTCACCCCACCCTCCTTTCCCCGCTTGGTGTCCATAGGTTTGTTTTCTAGCTCTGTGTCTCTGCTTCTATTTTGCAAATAAGATTATCTGGTTAATTGCACTGCAGAGCCTGAAGCCATGCTCATAAACGTTTCACATTCTCTTACACTAATGTTTCATCGGTATGTCTGGCCCTTTCAATGGATCCTTCCTTTACCCATGCGTGACTTTGTAACGCCATGCATTGGTGATTTGGAAAACAATGGTTCATGGAGTTTCACATATCTTCCAAACAGTAATATCTTCATTATACATTATATATCCAGAAAATCCACATCGGGTAATATCACTGCTGATCTCCAGAGGAAAGTCTAGGTATTGGACAGCTATCAAGTTTGCCATGGCCGATACCAGTTTTTCAAGTTTTTGCTTGAAATTTCAGTTGTTTTGAAACCTTGAGTTTTTATCATTTGTCAGTTTTATCAACTGACAACCCACGTCAGTTGTTTTGCTTGAGGTGATGTGCTCACTGTTCATTTTCAAGAAAATGCCTATCAAACACCCATCATCCTCTCAACTACAAATGGCATTCCGTGAAAAAAAACAGAAATGCTGGGACTTCCCTGGTGGTCCACTGGTTAAGACTCCACGTTTCCAATGCAGGAGACATGGGTTCAATTGCTGGTCAGGGAACTAAGGTTCCACATGCCACAGTGTGCCCAAAAGATTAAAAAAAGAAATAAAAACAGAAATGCTTACAAGTGCTTCCCATCTGGTCACACAAACTATTAAAAGACTTGTACTCAAGGGTCTAGGTTTAACGAAGTTAATAATTATTATGCTGCATCATCAAGGATGTTCTTAAGTGAAAAGACCTTTTTCTTTTTTGGTGAAGAACATGGTGACCAACTGAACTGGTACCACTGCCTTGATTCAGTTGAGGCTCCCGCAGTTTTACCCAGCGTTGCCTTTCCCCCATCAGTATAATGTCAACACGGTGGGAAAGGTAAATAACATCTTAGTATTTTAATGAAAATAGTTTTGGCCTCACAGAGCCCCTGAAAGGGAACTGGGGGCTTCCCATCTCACCAGGTGTCCATGCAGCACACTTTGAAAACTGCTGGCAGATTCATTTTGAGCCTAGAGTATAGGCTCTCTTTTTAGTATAGAATGGTCCATTTTGTTCTTTGTGGGTTTTTTTTGAGATGTTCAACATTTTTAATAGTGAAATGAAATATAAAATGAGATTTCATTGTACACTTGCTAACACGGCTAAAGTTGATAGTTTCTAATGCTGAAGAAGACGCTGGGCACCTGGAAATATCCAGCCTGGCAAGTGGAGGTGTAAAATGGTACAGCCATGGTGGAAAACTGGGAGTTCTTTTCTCTTTTTTGGTTTTTAATTTTTGTTGCAGCACAGCTGATTTACAAGGTTGTGTTAGTTTCAGGTGTACAACAAGACGAACCCGTTCGTTCTCCACACACACATATCCACTGCGTTTTAGATTCTTTCCCCATATAGGCCTGACAGAGCCTTGAGAAGGCTTGACCACTGTGCCCTACCGTAGGTCCTTACTAGTTATCGCATTTCACTCTTTGCAGGGATCTCACTGTGCGATGTGACATCGAATTCAACCAGCTCCTTCCTAACAGACATTTGGGTGTTGCCAAGTTTCCTCTCTCAAAAGCAGCGCTGCCTCGTGCTTGCGTGCCCTGGTCAGGGTCAAGGGGAATCCACACGTTCAGGGCTTTCGACGCCCCGCAGATGGGCTGTCCCCGCCTGCCGTCCCCCATGGGGTCAGAGCGTCCACGTGTGTCTTGCTTGCAGGTGGAGCATGACCCCGCCCATGGTGAACGCCTACTACTCGCCCACCAAGAACGAGATCGTGTTTCCGGCCGGAATCCTGCAGGCGCCCTTCTACACCCGCTCTTCACCCAAGTAGGACGCTCCTGGGGCTCTGTCCCATCTCCTCCCTGCCCACCCCCCACCCCCGCAACCCCTCAGCAGACCCCCCAGCCCAGCCCGACAGCAGGGTCAGCCCACAGCTGATCCCGCCTGCAACCCCGTCTCACCGAGGGCTCCTTGTCCCGCCGGCCAGGAGACGTTGCCATGGAGACAACACGCTCACCCCCTGTGCTCCCCTCCGGGGTCTCCTAGACCTCGAAGTCCCTACACAGTGGGCACTCGGGGGCCCGTCATGGAGGCAGTTCAGTTTAGTCGCTCAGTCGTGTCAACTCTTTGCAGCACGCCAGGCCCCCTCTGTCCATCACCAACTCCTGGAGCCTGCTCAAACTCATGTCCATCGAGTCGGTGATGCCATCATGGAGGCAGGAGCTCCAAACAGGGGAGTGCCCCTCTAGTGGTGTTCTAGAACAGTCCCAGCTGGGAAGTTGGGAAGGGTGAGAAGTCTCGGAAGTGAATTCCACACAGGCCTGGATCTGATCCCCGGGCCTGCTCTCTGCTGACTGAGTGGCCCTTGGGCAAAGTGGCTGAACCATCCCACACCTGCGTTTGCTCCCTTATACTCAGTTACTGAGGCCTAGCTCTTTGCACTGACCCAAGAGGGCAGTGCCTGGCACGGCGCTACGAGTCCAGTGGGCACAGGCTGACACAGCCGGCTCTCCAGGCTCTGACCAGCTCGGGGGCCCAGCTCCTGTGTCTCCAGACTGAGGAAGTGGTGGTCCCTCTGCACATGGCATCACTCTCACCCCCGTTTCTCCCCCTCCAGTGCCTTAAACTTCGGCGGCATCGGTGTCGTCGTGGGCCACGAGCTGACTCATGCTTTTGATGATCAAGGTACGGGTTCCTCAGGGTCCCCTTCAGATGAATCCCCACCGGCTTCCTGGCCCCACTGCTCCTGCTTTTTTGCCTTTATGCATCTTAGCCTTGGAGACAGAATGAGACAGAAGGTTAAAATACTGGCCCAGGCACCTACCAATTTGTGTGGACTCTCACAAGCCGCATCATTTCCGCAGGCCTCTATTTTCTTATCTGTGAAGTGGGCGTGATCATGTGGTGATTGTGAGGACTGGGCAGGCTCACAGCGGGACACCCTGCTCCCCGAAGGTGTGCAGTGCCGGGGTTGTATAGTGCTCCCCCCTATAGTCAGTGGGGAGCGAGCGTTTCTCCACCACCCCAGAGACTTTTCTGGTCCAACGACAAGTAGAAGAGTTAATACCTCACCAGCTAACGTCCAGAATCCCCCTCATTGTCTCCTGCCTTGGGAGCCCCGAGACCGAGAATGAGGAGGCAGGACCTTCCTGTGACCGGGCACAGGGTCAGAGGCCCTTCAACAGCCTCGACGGTGAATCCAGCTCCACCGAAACTTTGAACGTGCGGGTCCTCAGTCGGGTCACGTTCCTCCATCCCCCACCCCACCCTAGGCCGGCTGATTCATCCAGGTCCTTCACCACGCAGCCCGGCCTCATCTCCGCAGTGCTGGGGGGTAGACGGCCGGACCCGTGGCTGGCTGATTTCTCCCTGGGAGGAGAGGCGCGACCGCAGCACGGGGCTCTGGCTGTGTCTCTTCTCCGCCCGGCCTGACGCTCCCCTCTGACCCCGCAGGCCGAGAGTACGACAAGGACGGGAACCTCCGGCCCTGGTGGAAGAACTCGTCCGTGGAGGCGTTCAAGCAGCAGACTGAATGCATGGTGGAGCAGTATGGCAACTACAGCGTGAACGGGGAGCCAGTGAACGGCCGGCACACCCTCGGCGAAAACATCGCGGACAACGGGGGCCTCAAGGCGGCCTATCGGGTATGTGGCCCCTCCCTGCACGCCCCAGACCGAGCCTGGGTCTGGCCAGGTGCTCCTCGGTTAAGAGTAGTGGGAGACAAGCTGGGCATGTGCAACGGGTCTGTGGGCCTCAGTTGCTGCATCTGTGGAATGGGTGGCCGTGAGGACCGAGTGTAAGGGTGTCTGTGAAGCACCCAGCTCAGAACTGGCACACAGAGGCTGTGTACCCCAAGTTCAGCCTCCAGAAAGGGCTGGGCTGGACCCACCTGAAGACCTGCCTGTCCCTCTCGTTGCAGGGGAGGCCGCCCCTGACCCAGGCAGCAGTGGCCCCGGGAAGGGAGGGAGGGGGACACTGGCCACGGAGCCAGTTCCAGCTGTGGTCCTGGTTCTGCAGCGAGTCGCTCAGCCTCCCTGAGCCTCGGTGCGTGTGGCTGTGTTCATCCCTGCATTGCTGGGTGTGAGAGAGATGGCACGTGATGGCTTGGGCACAGGGTCTAGTCCAGGGTGGCCCTCAGCGATGTTGGCTGAGTTGGAAGGGAGAGATGCCAGAGGCTAAGGCAGAACCTCCTCCTCCTCCCCGTGGCAGCGAGAGCAGGAAGCCCGAGAGATGCTGTGTGCTGAGTGGGGGCCGGGCCCCCCGAGATCCCTGCAATTAGGTATCTCACGCCCGCTGTGCAGGCGACAGAAACAACCAGAAACGTCCGATGACTTGCCTGACGTCTGTTAGTCGGTGAAAGTGTGTTGCAAACTTTTGACCCGCCGTGTCCTGTTTTTGGTGCTGGCGGTTCTGGGATGAAACAGCAACGGGTCCTGCTCTCGTGAAGCCCCCACCTGTAGCGGGTCAGGGAGGGAGAGGAAAGGCAGTTCACACCGCTACGGATAAGTGTGACAATGTCAGGTGCTAATAAGACGAAGAAGAGGAGACCGGCCAAAGGAATAAAGAAAAATAGGGGAGAGGGTGGTCAGGGGAGGCCTTCTAGAGGGGATGACCTTGGAACGGAGTCCAGTAGGGTGAGGAAGAGGCGGGGAAGAACAGTAAATGCCGAGGCCGTGAGGTGGACCCAAGCCTCGCACAGTCCAGGACAGGAAGACGGACGGGCAGGGATGGAGGGCACGGCCCGGTGCAGGAGGGGCGGCTGGAGGAGCGGTTGTCCCGGCTACGGCCTCTGTCGACTGAGCAAGGACCTTGGTGTTTATTCTGGCTGCAGCGGGAGCCACTGCGGGGGTTCACACAGGGGAAGGATCTGCGTCACCCTCTACAACCAGGTCAGCAGGCCTACCGCCTGTGGGCCACATCCAACCCTTAGCTGGCTAAATCAACAAAAATAAAGTTGTGGGAGAGAGGGGACAGCTACACCCACTCATCTCCATGGTGCTTGTGACTGCTTTCATATATCAGGGTGTTCCTTGAGCCGTTGCAGCAGAGAAACTGTTTGGCTTCCAAAGCTGAAAAGACTTCCTCTCTGACCCTTTACAGAAAGTGTTGCCAGCACCTGTTTATGAGGATGACCTGAGTTGCTGTGTTGGGAGGGGGTTGGAATCGGGCCAGTTTGAGGTCAAGGAGACTAGTTAGAAAGCTGCTGTGAGGTTGTCCAGGCAAGAGATGGGCTAGAGCAACGTGAAGGGTGAGATGTGGTTAGATTGGGGTTGTTCGGTTGATTGAAAGAAGATGAATTGCCGGGGGCCAGCCCCAGCGGGATCCAGGAGGTACCCTCAGGATGAACGGCGTCGGTGAGAGAGAGAAGACACGTGAGACCAGCCTTGACAGGGCCAAGTCTGCGAGGGAAAGAGAGAGAGAGAATGACCAGACGGGGGTGTTTGCAGGGTCTGGCAATGCTTTATTTTTTTACCGTGGCTTTTATACCCTAAATTAGTACATTTCTAAGGGGAAGATAGTTTAACATTACATCAGCTTGTTCTTCACGAAACCAGGGTGTTTTCTGCATACTTCTTTGTTTATGAGGGTCTTGTACATTATCTTCTGGCCTTGGGGCCTATTGACATTTTATGACCTAGGTGAATGCAAAGCTGTTTTCTGTAATCTATTCTTTAATGAACACAAAGGTCAGTCCTTTTGCAGAAGTTATCAGTTAAATTTATCTAAAAGGTTTACCACACAAAGACTCTGCAGCTCCGATGAGGCAGCCCCTGTTTAGCATTCCTGGTTAAAATAAACAATTTTAAAATCTTATTTTTCTAAATCTTTAACTATAACCACTTTTAGAATAATATTTTTATGTTCTCTAATAGGGCTTCCTCACCCCCGAAGGGCTCTGTGCCTATTAGGGCCTTTATGTGATCAGGTTCTTTATGCTGTTTTATGATTAGGGTACTATAAGCAATCATGCATATTAGTACCAAGGGCATAAACAATTTGCCAAACAAAATAAAATACCAGCAAAGGAGTTTAAATTAAAACATTAAAACATTCCTTTCACCCTGGATAATCTCATAAAATACCACCACCTGGGAAACTTACTGATTAAAGTTCTAAATTGATCCTTATTTGGAAAGACATCGGGGAAGGCCTTCTGCCTGTGTCACAGAAATTAGGGAGTATTAAAGCAAGCATCAGAAGACAGATACCATCTTTAAGGTGAGCCCCCGGCGCAGCTTTGGGGCAGCTTTTCAGAATCCCTGAAAACCTGATCCGCCTTGCCCATCAGGCTTTCTCCCCATGACCTTGTCATGGGTGGGATCTCATGTTCTGGCTCCCGGCATCTCCCCCTTTTTTACTTTTTAAAACAGCGAGATGGATTTCAGTTGCGAGCTTCTGAGTGCTTTGCCGGAAAACTCTGACAATACAAGGAAGGATTATAATGAAAAGTAAAACTAAGGCTGCTACAGCAGCATAACTGAAGATAATTGATAGAATATTTTTTCCAGAAATAAAGTTAGAAAAGGTATCAAAAAGTCATTAGCAGCTCCTGCAGCAGTAAAGTCTAGACGGGAATGTTCTAAGATCTTTATCTCACCATGAAGCTTTCCAAGATCTAAACTAATGCTGGAGCTATTCCATACGCCTGAAATATGGTTTTTAATCCTATCCCAATTATAATCTGTATCATTTACTTTTAGGGGTGTTGCACAAATCCACCAATAGTTGGCGTGACAGGATAGTGCTAACTTTACCCTTAAAGCCTGCAACTCAGTTCCAATATGCATGACTGCTTCTTTTAGGGCATCTATTTTTACTTTTAATTTTCTATCTATAAATTCTTGTGTAGCTAGAGCTAAAGAAACATTTTTTGACATATCATTGACATATTGAGCAGTATGTACCTGTTGAGTCAATGATACCGCTGCCACAGTGACAGAGGTGATTGCTGCTATCAAAGCTGAAATCCCTAAGATAAGTAATCCGACAAACAGTCGGGAACGCATTGAATCTTGCAGTTGTTGCAGAACGGCTAGACCGTAATTGTCATACCAGTAGGCATTCACTGTGACGGGCACCATAAGACAAGGTGGACGTTGCAGCACCACAAAAGAACAAATGTTATATTGAGGGATTAAACAGGATGAGAGCATGCATGGTTCACAGTAGACTATATTGGGTCCACCTGAATAGTTAATCTGTATATGAATCCTTTTTGAATCATTAGTAAACAAAAAAACGTAAGGGGAGGGTAAACAAGCCAGCACAGAACAGGTGGAATCATTTTCTGGGCAGGATAGAGTAACAAGGCCTCGAGGTGGCAGCAAGGGTTCTCCAAATTTCTGGTTGCCAAAAAGTTTTACCCTTAGTTGTATAGGACAACATGGAGGGAACAAATTGATTAATATACCATCTGCTGGCCACCAATGGCCAAGGGAGGGAATCATTTTTTCAATTGCTAAACCTACTAACATGGTCAGAAACAGATCCCAGATTCTGATTTGGATTTGGATTGCTCCAGTCTTGTACCGAATAGTTTCTGCCTCTCGGTATTCTATAATCTATTCTCGAATTATAAGTACAAGATTTTCATACCGGATATCCCAGGCAGTTGTCTATAGTTTTCCATAAGACATCTGAAGGAGCAACATCAATACAATTGGGATATTTTGGTGGAGCATTAAGGAACAAGGATTTATAGGGGTCAAGGACCCCGGGCATATGGGCCTGTAATATCCAAACCAGCCGATCTCCTGTTTTATCTGAAAATTTTGGTGCTGGGGAATCTGTCAGAATTGCTTTTTTGGAGGCTCCGACACACCCCTCCTTAGAGGGAGTGATGAGATCACTTGTATGACTATGGGGGAGGTTAAAGCCAAGGGGAAGGCCATCCGTTAATCCCCTAAAAGTATAGTCAAAATTGGTGGGGTAGTGATCTTTACCATAAGAAGTATAGGATCCTCCCAAGAGATGAGGCTGGTCTGTGTTGACCCGTATAGGGTCGCTGTTCCAAGTAACTACTTGGAAGGTCAGGGGATCAGGGAAATATGCCCAGTATTTTTCTGATGTAGAAGAGGTAGCACTTGCCTGGCAAGACAGTAAAGCAAGCATAGCAATAAAAACCCTTTCAGGAGAGGCTGAGGATCCCTGCAGGGAAGCTATGCCCTGTGCTAGATGGCACAGCGACTTCATTTACCCCCATGTGGGTATGGAGGCTTGTTGAGTTGCCCGCACAGGACATCCTGGTGGTTTCCATTTGTTCTTCCAGGATCTCCGCTGCTGGTTGTTTCAGAGTCTGCTGGACCTTTTAGGTGGGCGGCGGAGGCAGGGGCAGAGGAGTGCCCTTCTTCTTTTGTGGTCGAAGCAATGGGGGAACCGGATGTCTGGGGGACTGCAACATGGCGAATCAGTGTCGAATCAGTCTGTCCGGGATCCAAATTGGCTACTCAGCACCCTGGGGGAAAATACAAGCACACCCTCGGCCGCTGGTTAGTAATGGGTTAGGACCCCTCCGTTGTCCTGAAAGAAGGTTTTTCCATTTAACCAGAGGTTCTGTACTCTGCTGCTCTGGACTCCAATGTCGGAGCATTGCAGTAACCCCAAATGAATCAGTGTTTAGATTGTATATCACAAAAAGAGCGTGTTGTAGAATCTGTTGAGGGGAACTATACTTAAATTCACCTTTATGTAGTTTTAAAATTTGAGTTTTTAGGGTCTGATGTGCTCTTTCTACGATGGCTTGTCCCTGTGGGTTATAAGGGATACCTGTGCTATGTTTTATATGAAACCTTGCACAAATGTCTTGAAACGATTTAGAAATGTAAGCAGGGGCATTGTCAGTTTTAAGACATTACAATAGCACAAGTCTAACAGTGAGGGGTTATTTTTGGTAGAAGCAGAATGAGCTTTTATATGTACCATAATCTTAAATAACACTTATTTACTTTACTGAAGTATCAAAATATTTTAAAAACAAATATAAATCACTTAAAGGCAAAGAAATTCATAATTTGTTATTGAAAGAGTCATTCTAATAAAACTTTGTTCTCTTAACAGAGAGAGTAGACTAAATTCCAGTCTGTTACCAATTTACCAAACAGCAAACAAACAAAATTTTTCAGTTAATCTTAGAAAAGTCTTTTAATAAATCTTGAAGAACTAGCAGTATTTTTTTTAAAGGCATGAGAGTGAAACCATACAAGGCATGTTTAAAATCTAATTAAATTGTAATTGACAAAGTAGCCTGGTCATTGCTGTGACTTGTAACACTTTAATGTGATAACTAAAATTATAACTGACATTTTACCAGGACACATCAGATTTTCATGAATTTCACATAATTTCTAGGATATCTATATAAGTAATATCAACCATACAATATAACCTGAGAAGATTTATCACTCCTCCAACAATAATTGCCATGCAATTTAACATGTCAAATGAACTCAGGTAGTTTAATAGCTCTTTGGGATGTCTCAGGGGCCCTCTGAAGCATCCCAAAGTCAGCTAGAAGTCAAGCTATTTAGGCAATTTTGTCAATAAATATCAAAAGCGTTTATAGTACTCTGTCAGGTAGAATCATATAGATCACTGTGAAATAATATATTTGCACTTTCCATCAAGCCTTTTTAACACTTTCTGTACCCATTACTTTGTTCTCCCATCCTGAAACAGCCACCTGTAAGTCAGACTTACTTCCTTTTTTTTTTTAATAAAATGTAACTTCATTTTTCATACCTTCTTTACTGAAGACACACATCTTACTTTCCTTAAGCAACCAAGAATTTACCTTTATATTAGCATTCTATAGATTGGTGAACATAAATACCAGTGATAATTTCTTTTTTTTTTTTCAGTGATAATTTCTAAAAAAATTCTAGCGAACATCTCAGGATGGCATCAAACATTATTTATTAATAGTCTAAAATCTTTAGTTTCTCTGTAAGTTAGTATTCAGTAATGAATGTTTCAGAATCTTATTTTATTTGGAAATGACCTAGCTATTTAATAAACTTCTGTTATTAGTTTAGCACAACTTTAGAAATTTAGGTTACCAAAATCTGGAGAAACTGTTTTAGACAGACATTTTTAATCTTAATAAAGTTCAAAAGCTCCTATCTCATTTACCCCCTTTTTTTTTTAAGTTTCTTTACTTGAGGTACTTTCCTTGTTGACAAACTTGTAACAGATATTACAATATGACAATATTTAACTTATAATAAACCTAGGCATAATGAAAATATTTTACTTGATGTTAATTACTCTAAGACATGTCTATATTAGATAGGTCAACAAACAAACATTAATATCAGGTATTTAATACTGAATATTTTCCAGTTTACCTGAACCTGGAATTTATTGTTTAATTTAGAATCATTTGATTTGTAAGCACTTACCTTTCTTTAAGCCAATTAAATAGAGCTCATTTACAAATGAACCTAAAAAATATTACCCAGAGACAAAGACATACCAAGACATATTTAGACAGCCATAGTGCAAGATCTAGCTTCATTTTTAAAGTTCGGTTAGATATTACAATATAAAATTTACTAGTTTATAAAAAAGTTGAAATAAATAAAAAATTTTAAAGGCTTTTTCCCTTTTCCCTCAGTCTCAGGAGTTAGAGATGGTCTAGATAAGTGTTCCTGAGAGCCCTGGTCTCAAGGCACAGGGAAAGAAAGTCAAGTTCTAACAAAAAGCAAAATGGCCATCAAAAATCACAGCACAGAACACAGAGTTAAAACACACACATATAAACCTGGCAGTCCTCATCAGACACTCCCTTAAATACAAGAATACCGTCTCTCAGAAAACCTTCTATAGAGACATAAAACTTCAGATGTCTTCAAAGATTTCAAAAGGAGGAAAGGAAGCCAGGTTGAAAGAAGAAGGAGGAGGAGGAGGGAAAGGGGGGCAAAAGGGGTGGTCTTACAGCCGTCTCCTGCCACCTGCAGACACCCAGGCGTTTCGGGACTTTTCCCTGGGCTTCCAGAGAAGGGAGGACTGGAACTCAGCCCTACCGGAATTCGAGTTCTCTGCCAAGAGGAGGTGATCAGTCTCCAATCCTCAGCTCAAGCTGAGGCCCTTCGACCAAATTCCTGCGTCCAGGACCAGGGGATTAGAAAAATGGGAAGGATAAGAAAGCTAAGGCGAGGAAAGAGAGAGGGAAGGGGAGAGAGGTCAATAAAGTCTCTTGTTCCTCACCGGTCGGGGCACTCTGGGCAGTTGTCCGCGTCAGGAGGAGACCAGGGACAAAAGGGTCCCAGTTGCGGCCGCTGGGTCTGGTCCATTGGCAGGCAAGCTGGCCCCTGAGTACCCTGAGTGGTCAGGATGTCAGTCTCAGTGAAGAAGAGTCCCCACCAGTTGCAGGAAGGGGCCCCCTTCCAGGGCCTGTAAACGGGGCTCTTATAAATGAACTGTCCAAGGAGACACATGTGCTGACATTGCTCTTGGACAAACGTAAAAAAGGACTGAACACCAGTCTTTTTAACTTTAATTCCTCTGTGGTTAAGGATTTGCATTATGAAAAAGCTGTCTTCCTTTGACTCACTGTTACCCGTTTTTGTTACTAATTAGAAGAAGAAAAAAAGACAAAAAAAGGAAGAGGCTTAATTTTAGAGAACAAATCTGAAACGTACCCACCTTTCTTACCCTACCTTTCTTATGTAGGGGGGCCTGTAGCGCCCTAGTGGGGTTCTAAAACCTGAAGCCTACCCACTTTCCTCACCCTACCTATTTTATGCAGGGGGGCCCGCATAAGGAGAGTCCTGGGGTTTGGGCCTGAGTAACTGGGTGGTTCAATTCAGTTCAGTCGCTCAGTCGTGTCCGACTCTTTGCAACCCCATGGCATTGCAGCATGCCAGGCCTCCCTGTCCATCACCAACTACTGGAGTTTACTCAAACTCATGTCCATCGAGTCGGTGATGCCATCCAACCATCTCATCCTCTGTCGTCCCCTTCTCCTCTCACTTTCAATCTTTCCCAGCATCAGGGTCTTTTCAGATGAGTCAATTCTTTGCATCAGGTGGCCAAAGTATTGGAGCTTCAGCTTCAGCATCAGTCCTTCCAATGAATATTCAGGACTGATCTCCTTTAGGATGGACTGGTTGGATCTCCTTGCAGTCCAAGGGACTCTCAAGAGTCTTCTCCAACACCACAGTTCGAAAGCATCAGTTCTCTGGTGCTCAGCTTTTGTCGTTGGCGTCATTTACTGTGATGGGAAAGCAGTGTGTGTGTGTGTGTGTGTGTGTGTGTAAAATGCATCTTGGATGTCCAGCTGGTGCAGTTGAATGTTCCCAAGAAAGGCTGGGGCTGGCAGGTGCATCTGTATTTAGAAGGAGGTGGTACTTAAAGCCGTGGGGTTGAATGAGCTCCCTTTGGGATGAGTGCAGCAGAGTGCGGCTCCTCTAGGCTGAGTTGGGCTCAGGGCTGAGGCCCAAGACCCCCAGAAGCCAGGCCCTGTCCCGACGGGGTGCATCTTCCCAGGTCTCCCCCACTAGCCCCCCACTGCCACCCGCTTCTTCATGTGACACGGGGACCCTGAGCTCTGCTCTCCCCCCAGGCCTACCAGAACTGGGTGAAGAAGAATGGGGCTGAGCAGACGCTGCCCACCCTGGGTCTCACCAACAACCAGCTCTTCTTCCTGGGCTTTGCACAGGTGAGTTCTTTAGAGAAAAGCTAATACCCAGGCACAGTCTGCCATCTTGAGTTCCAGGAGCGCTGAAAACCAAAAGGCAAATTTCTTCAAATAGAGAAGCCCTAGCTCGTGGGTGCATCCACAGGGCATTTACCCTGTAAGAAGGCAAGCTTCATCTTTGGGGAAATTCAAGGTAGGGTTGAGAACCCTGTTAGAGGAATTCCTGCATCAGGTTTGCTTGGATGGCTAAGGGCCCTCCCAGTTCTGCTGTTCTAGATATGTCTTAAACTCAAGGTGTCCCAGGTCGTCCCTAGAGTTGGCAATCAGTATGTAGCCTTCTGTTGGTGCCCAGAGTCACAGGGCCATGAGGCAGTTGGTTTTGCCCAGGAAAGGAGTGATCTGGACTCAGTGCAAAGTGTTCAAAGTGGTTTGGGGGCAGAATCCTTTGTGCAGGTGAAGCGTAATGCAGATGCCTGGGACAGACATTCATCTGGTCTGGCTGCAGGAGAGGGAGCTGGATGAAGGCCCCCCAGCCCTCTGCTTCTTCCTAACCCAGGTGGCGGGCCCTTCATGGGGATCTTAGAACCAGAGGAACGCTTATTTCCCTGTTAGGGTGATGGGGCCAATCTGGCGGCCTTGGGGACCTGCAGTGACTCCGCCCTCTCCCTTGTCACCCCCTCAAAGGTCTGGTGTTCTGTCCGCACCCCCGAGAGCTCACACGAAGGTCTCATCACCGATCCCCACAGCCCCTCCCGCTTCCGAGTCATCGGCTCCATCTCCAACTCCAAGGAATTCTCAGAACACTTCCGCTGCCCGCCCGGCTCACCCATGAACCCACATCACAAGTGTGAAGTCTGGTGAAGGGCCAAGCACCCCGAGCCGAGATGGAGGGCGAGGGGGGGGGCCCAAGAACATGCCCCCGGGCCCACAAGACTGCCCCCTCCATCCAGCGGCCAGCCCCCTCCCCCAACACTGCAGAGTGGTCAGCTGGAACCAAGCCTGTGATGTGAGCTCTCACCGTAATCTGAGATTTGACCCCCTGTGAAGACCTGGTCATCCCAGGCACATGTGTGTCAACTCTGATGGGTGTTGGGGCATTAGCCAGGTTGCCCACTGGGTCTGGACCCTCGCCGACAAGGGCAGATGGGCCCAGCCCCCTCCGCCCACATGCAGCACCAGATATACCACAAATACCACTGTGTCAAATGCTTTAAAGATATATTTTTGGGGAAACTATTTTTTAAACATTGTGGAATACACTGGAAATCTTCAGGGAAATGATGCATTTAAAACACTTTTTTTTTTTTTAAGGAAAGGATCGGTATATTTATTATGTTCTCTTTTTCTAAATAACCTGTGGACAAGGGAAAGCCCCTGACTACCCCCCCCTCTCTTCCTTCCTCGCTACAAGGTTGGGCTGAAGCAGGATTCCCAGCCACCAAGCAGGTCCCCACGTGGAGAGGTGCTTCTTCCTTTGGGGTGTGTGGTTCCAGCCCCCTCCCCTGGTTCTTGCTCCCAGCAGAGGGAGGGGCAGCTTGTTGGCAGCATCCCCCAGGGGTGCCTGCCTCTGAACCCAGAGTCCATCAGTGGGGTCCCCCAGCAAGGAAACTCTGGCCCCCAGAGTCGCACTAGGGGACTGATGGCTGCGTGAGGCCAGGTCTGTGCCCCCCACCCCAGCCTGGCGGTGGCTGAGCACCCCGGACCCGGGTCACAAGCCCTGCGAGGCTGAGACCCGCCGCCAGAGCTCTCTGCTGTGCCATGGGGCCCTCTCTCCGTCCCCTTGCTTTTGGGCGCCTCCCTCAGCCCGGGACCCATGGCTGCTCTGCAGCGCCCCATCCCAGCCGTTGCGGAGTCTGCCTTGCACACCTCTTCTCCCCCGGGAAGAAGAAAAGAGAAAGCAGCGCTCATCGCCGTGGGCCCCGGATCCTCCCTTGGGCTCTGACCTCCACCACCTCCTTTCCTCGCTCCCAGGACCCCAGCCAGCCCCAGCCTCCCCCCTCAGTGCCTTATCTGGGGCTGCACCCCGCAGGAGGAGACCGCCCTCTGCCCCCAGGGGCCCTCGGCGTCCCCAGGGAGCCCCCGCGTGCCCTGTCTGGAACACCAGGCCATGCCCTCCGACCCAGGGCCCACACAGCTGCCCCTCACGGCTGCCCAGCGGCTGAGGCTGGCTGGTCAGTGGCACTGCGGCCAGGAGTCTGAGGACCCGCTGAACGTGCCCCGGGCTCCAGCCCACCCTCAGCCCCTTGGCTGAGTGGAGACAGTACTGGCCCTGGACCCTCCTCTTCTTCGGGGGTGCTCTTAGCTGGGGGAGGGGGGTTCAGGGGGCAGGCACGGTGGGTCTGGCCCGAGGAGTCAGGGCACCGGGAATGCTCCTCCTCCGTGCGGCCACAGCTTGTCGGGATGGCCGCGTTGGGACGCCCCGAACCCGGCGGAGCTCACGGAGCCCCAGGCCGACCCCGTGGGGAAGCGGGCGCCGAGGCCGGAGACCCGCCGCCCCCAGAGGAGCCAGTCCTCCCGGGAGGAGCAGACGGCAGCTCGGCCACCGCCAGGCGCCCTTTCACCCGCCCTTGAGCTGGGGCGGGGGCCGTCGGGGGGCTCCAGGTGAGGCCCTGGCCCCCACAAGCGGCGGGCAGGGGCCTCGTCAGCGGAAACGAGCACGGGGCAGAGAAGGGGCGGAGTTCGGAGCCTGCCTCTCACCCCCGCCTCGGAGGGCCGGCTCTCGGGGGCCGGCCAGGCTCCCTCCTGCCCTCCAGCCTTCCCAGAGGAGGCTCCCAGGCCCCTAGCCTGGGGACCAGGACCCCCCAGCGAAGGCAGGCGTCCCAGGGCCGAGGGCCCAGCCAGAGGCAGGGCAGGGATGGAAGCCAGGGGAGCCCCACCCGCCTCGTGCCCTCCCCCACCCCCGGGCAGCCGCCCTCCCTCGAGGCCCGGGGCGCCCTCCGGGGCCGGCGTCTCTGCGGGGACAGGGGTGTGGGGTTGGGATCTGGGAATCTATTTTTTTGTATTATCACGTTTCGTGCTACTGTAGTCCTGTGTGGCACCATTGTAACTGAAATAAAGTACTTACACCGAAGGCCGTGTGACCGAGTGTGTGTCCTCCCCCAGGTGAGGTGTGTCCTGTGGAGCCGCCATTGTCCCCGGGGCTGGCCGCGCCTCCTCCCCGGAGCAGGGGCCTTGAGTGAGCGAACGTCGCTCAGTCGCGTCCGGCTCTTTGTGACCCCGTGGACCATACAGTCCCTGGAATTCTCCGGGCCAGGATACTGGAGTGGGTAGCCTTGCCCTTCTCCAGGGGACCTTCCCAACCCAGGGATCGAGCCCAGGTCTCCCGCACTGCAGGCGGATTCTTTACCAGCTGGGCCACCAGGGAAGCGGAAGCCCTGGATCCTGGCTAATGCCTGTGCCCACCTGGCCGCACTTCCGTCATCACCAAGAGCGTGTGAGCGCCCCCTGCTGGTGAGAACGATGCGTGTCGCCACATGGGCTCAAGGGACCTCGGGGTAAAAATACTTCCGTTATGTTGGAATGAAGGATCTCATCACTGTTTCCAGGCCTCAGGTGCTTGGGCAGGGCAGGCAGTTCAAGGAAGAGTCTCTGACATACCCTCATGCCTCTCCTGGGTTTTACATACATTCTTCCCTCTGCCTGGAATACCCTACCCTGCCTTCTTTTGGCTGATGAACTCCTACTCATCCTGCGATGCCCAGGTCAGCAACACCTCTAGGGAGCCATTCCTGACCTGCAGTCCAGATCAGGGCGCTCATACAGGCTTCCCTCTCCTACCAGACTTAGAGCCGGGCTGCCATAACAAAAGGTTGTACAGGCTTCCCTCTCCTACCAGACTTAGAGCCGGGCTGCCATAACAAAAGGTTGTACAGGCTTCCCTCTCCTACCAGACTTACAGCCGGGCTGCCATAACAAAAGGTTGTACAGGCTTCCCTCTCCTACCAGACTTACAGCCGGGCTGCCATAACAAAAGGTTGTACAGGCTTCCCTCTCCTACCAGACTTAGAGCCGGGCTGCCATAACAAAAGGTTGTACAGGCTTCCCTCTCCTACCAGACTTAGAGCCGGGCTGCCATAACAAAAGGTTGTACAGGCTTCCCTCTCCTACCAGACTTAGAGCCGGGCTGCCATAACAAAAGGTTGTACAGGCTTCCCTCTCCTACCAGACTTAGAGCCGGGCTGCCATAACAAAAGGTTGTACAGGCTTCCCTCTCCTACCAGACTTAGAGCCGGGCTGCCATAACAAAAGGTTGTACAGGCTTCCCTCTCCTACCAGACTTAGAGCCGGGCTGCCATAACAAAAGGTTGTACAGGCTTCCCTCTCCTACCAGACTTAGAGCCGGGCTGCCATAACAAAAGGTTGTACAGGCTTCCCTCTCCTACCAGACTTAGAGCCGGGCTGCCATAACAAAAGGTTGTACAGGCTTCCCTCTCCTACCAGACTTAGAGCCGGGCTGCCATAACAAAAGGTTGTACAGGCTTCCCTCTCCTACCAGACTTACAGCTGGGCTGCCATAACAGTGTCACAGCATGGTACCTTACACAACAGAAATGCATTCTCTTGTGGTTCTGGAGGATGTAAGTCTGAGATTGAGCTGATTCGTGCTGAGGAATGTGAGGGAGAATCTCCTGGGGGCTTGCTGGTTCTCTTTGGTGCTCCCAAAACTTCTCCCTTTGGTGCTTCTGGAAACATCCCTCATCTCTGCCTTCATCTCACATGATGTTCTCCCTGTGTGTGTCTGCCTCTGTATCCAAATTCCTTTCTAACTTAATTTTTATTTTATATTGAGGTATAGTCGATTAACAATTTTGTGTTCTTCTCTGTTTTGATAAAGGCATCAGTCATATTGAATTAGGGCCTACTCAGAAAGCGAAAGTGTTAGCTACTCAGTCCTGTCCAACTCTTTGCGACCCCATGGACTATAGCCTGCCAGGCTCCTCTGTCCACAGGATTCCCCAGGCGAGAATACTGGAGTGGGTTGCCATTTCCTTCTCCAGGGGATCTTCCCAACCCAGGGATGAAACCTATGTCTCCTGCATTGCAGGCAGACTCTATGGTTTGAGTCCCCCAGGAAGCCCAGGGCCTACTTTAGTGACCTCACTTGTATTCATTTATTTATTTGGCTGTGCTGGGTCTTTGTTGTAGCACGCTGGATCTTTTATTTGTGTCATGCAAACTCTTAGCTGTGGTATGAGGGAGCTGGTTCCCTGACCAGGGATTGAATCCAGGCCCCCAGCATTGGGAGCACGGAATTCTTAGCCACTGGACCACCAGGGAAGTCCCCTGACCTTATCTTAACTGCATTCAAGTTCATGTAATGAGCTTATATTACATGCATTATATATATATAACACATATTATATATATGTAATATGTTACATATATTACATGCATCTTAATTGCATGTAATATAACCCCCCTAAGGTCATATTCTGAAGTACTGGGGATTTCAGCCTCAACATGAATGGAGGGGCGGGGGCAAATTCAGCTCCTAACACAGGCCCCAGTTCTGCAGGCTACAGAGGTGCCTGCCCCACCCCCAGCAGCCCAGCGCCTGGACCAGCCAGGGACTATTGGAGAAACGGGTGAGTGGGTGGGTGGATGGATGAGGGAACGGACAATGGCTGTAAGTGAGACACGATTGAGACAGCCACCCCACAGCACACCAGGCACCTAAGAGATCAAGTCCCGTGGGCTGAGGTGAGGGAGAACACTTCCTAAAGGGGAGAGATTTCATCTGAGCCTTGGCTGAAGGGGGAGGATTGAGATTCACGCCCCAGAGTGGATGGAGTGATGGCCCCAGGCAAGCACCTATCTGAGAGGCAGGACTCCTCCCACTGCCTTGCTTTAAAGGGAGTGAGTCGTTTCTCTTCTCTTAGATCCCGCTATTCCAGCTCTCAAACGGACAATTAGCTCTCTCTGTTGAGACCCACGGTGCTGGGGAGATGTGAAGATCCTTGAGACGGTGATGCACTTGGAAGCTCGTCGGCCAGCTCACACGAGGCGAACCTTCTTACCGACCAGTGTGCCTGAGCCCCTAGCCTCCAGCATCTCTCAGCAGGACGGCTTGGCCTCCTACCCTCCCACTGCTCTCTGTCCTAGAGGAGTACGCTGCTCAGAACTATACCCTCCCACCACAAAGTTTAAAAAAAAAGTCACTCATAGTCTCATCACCTGAAGATTAAAAAAGAGTAAGCTATTTAAAGATCTTACTTTCGCTCCCCGTCACCAGCTCGCCCTCCCACCTGAGTCTCCTTTCTGCACCTTATGCAGTCCAGGCCCTCTCCTGCCTGTCCTTCAGAGTAGAATGTTCCCCCAACACACACACACACCCTTGCCAATGAATGAATGAATGCAGAATTTAAAAAAAGCTTCCCCATACTGCATGCCTGCTGCGAGTCAGGCTGTGAGCCGTGTGCTGTATACACATTCTCTCCTTGAATGCTCACAGCAGCTTTCTGAGAGAGGTGCTTTATCACCCGGATCACCGGGGGAGCTGTGGCAGAGACGGATTCTGAAGCCAGGCAGCTACTTGGGGGAATGTGAGAAGCTGCCAAGAACAGGGCCACTTTGAGAGTCACACACACACACACACATGCACACGTGCACACACACACGTGCACACACAGGCACACACACACACAGGCTGAAGGTGCAGAAGGGAGACCTTTCTTCCTGCAGAGCCCATCTTCCTGACGCTGTCCCTTTCCCCATGACCAAGTGAACAGGCTCCTTTCTCTTCCCTGGAGTTCCTGCCCCTCCCTTCCTGAACCTCCTCCCTTTTTTGTAAGCGACAGATCCTCTCTTCTTAAAGCATGCCCCCCTCTCCAAGCAGGAATATTTTTTTTTCTTTTTTTTCTTTTCATTTATTTTTATTAGTTGGAGGCTAATTACTTTACATCATTGCAGTGGGTTTTGTCATACATTGAAATGAATTAGCCATGGATTTACATGTATTCCCCATCCCCGTCCCCCCTCCCACCTCCCTCTCCACCCGATCCCTCTAGGTCTTCCCAGTGCACCAGGCCCGAGCACTTGTCTCATGCACCCAACCTGGGCTGGTGATCTGTTTCACCCTAGATAATATACGTGTTTCGATGCTGTTCTCTTGAAACATCCCACCCTCGCCTTCTCCCAGAGTCCACAAGTCTGTTCTATATATCGGAGTCTCTTTTTCTGTTTTGCACATAGGGTTATCGTTACCATCTTTCTAAATTCCATATATATGTGTTAGTATACTGTAATGGTCTTTATCTTTCTGGCTTACTTCGCTCTGTATAATGGGCTCCAGTTTCATCCATCTCATTAGAACTGATTCAAATGAATTCTTTTTAATGGCTGAGTAATATTCCATGGTGTATATGTACCACAGCTTCCTCATCCATTCGTCTGCTGATGGGCATCTAGGTTGTCCAAGCAGGAATATTAAAACCCCAGCTCGACCCTCTAGGAGTTTACCACACAGTTAAAGAGATAGAAACACATGCAAGATGTGACCAACTAGAAAATATATGCAAACTATGGCTTCCCAGGTGGCGCTAGTGGTAAAGAACCTGCTTGCCAATGCAGGAGACATAAGAGATGTGGGTTCAATCCCTGGGTCAGGAAGATCCCTTGGTGGAGGGCATGGCAACCCACTCCAGTATTCTTGCCTGGAGAATCCCATGGACAGAAGAGCCTGGTGGGCTGCAGTCTATAAGGTCACAAAGAGTCGCACACGACTGAAGTGACTTAGCACGCACACACATGCAATCTAGTAATAACAATCAACTGTGAAAGCCAAAGGATTCAGCAGAGGCTCTCCATGAGGGTTGAGGAACTGCAGAAGGAGGGATAAGACAATATTCTAAACTTTTAAGAATCTACTACAGTAATAAAACAGTGAAAAATGGGCAAAACCCTTAAACAACAACAAAAAAAACTGTAAAACTTTCCTGAGGAACATAAAAGAAGACCTGAATAAATGCAGATGAATATCCTTATCACGGATGGAAAATTTCAACACAATAAAAGATGTCAGTTCTTCCCGACATGAATCTCTAATTTCCATGTACTTTCAACCAAACTTCCAAGATAATTTCCATGGAATTTGATAAGCTGATTCACATGGAATGGAAAATGTACCAGGGCCAGGACAATTTTGAAAAAAATTAGTGAGGGAGCTAGGCCTCTCACAATATGTTATAAAGCTTTAGTAAGTTGTATAACATGATGCTGGCATAGGATTAAAGAAATGAAAACAACTTGAATCGATTAGAGAACCAGAAACAATTCTGTGTGTATGTGGACATTAGTACAGGAGAAAAAGAGGGGGTGCTTCCCAAGTGTCTCATGCTCAGTCAGTCATGCCCGATCCTTTGCGATCCCGTGGAATGTACCCCGCCAGGCTCCTCTGTCTATGGAATTCTCCAGGCAAGAATACCGGAGTGAGTTGCCATTTCCTTCTCCAGGGGATCTTCCCCACCCAGAGATCGAACCTGAATCTTTTATGTCTCCAGCATTGACAAGCAGGTTCTTTACCACTAGCGCCACCTGGGAAGCCCTTCCCAAGTGGCTCAGTAATAAAGAATTCCCCTGCCAACGCAAGAGACAAGGGTTCGATGCATGGGTCAGGAAGATTTCCCTGGAGAGGGAAATAGCAACTCACTCCAGTATTCTTGCCTGCGAAGTCTCATAGAGGAACCTGGCAAACTACAGTCCATGGAGTGGCAAATGAATCAGACACAACTTAGCAACTGAGAAACAACAATAAAAAAGCCCTTTAAATCAGTCGGGAAATGATGAACCATTTAATAAACGTTAGGATATCCATGTTAGGATATCCACCCAGGAAAAAATGAGATCTTGCCTTTCTCACACAGTTCTCACATGCAGTGATCATGGCAATAAATTCTACATATACTAGAAACCTAAACGTGCAGTAACTATAAAAGTATCAGATGAAATAGAAGAGAAGTTGTTTAAGAGTTTGGGTAGGCAAAGCTATCTTTGAAAAGACACAACTATTCATAAATAGGAATGTAATTGTAGAATTTCTAAAAATATAAAAACCTCTAAAGAAATTAAAACATACCTTAATCCTATCATCCAAAAAGTCACAGACACACACTCAGGCACACGATGAAGAAAAAAAGGAAAAGATTAATATCTTTGGCAACATCAAAATGTAATTCATTTATAAACCAGATATAATAAATAAAGCTAAAAGATTAGGCAACAAGGACCTACTATATAGCACCGGGAATTATATTCAATATCTTGTTATAACCTATGATGGAAAAGAATCTAAAAGGTTCACCAATACTGAAGAGAGAGCGCTTTCGTCCCCGCCATGGCTGAGCTAATCCAGAAGAAGCTGCAGGGAGAAGTGGAGATACATCAACAGCTGCAGAAGGGCTTGAGTAAATCCACGTCAAGGAGGCAGAAACTAGAGGCACAACTAACAGAGAACGATATCGCGAAGGAGGAACTGGCCCTGCTGGATGGGTCCAACGTGGTGTTTAAACTTCTGGGGCCGGTGCTGGTCAAACAGGAGCTGGGGGAAGCTCGGGCCACAGTGGGGAAAAGGCTGCGCTACATCACAGCTGAGATTAAGCCGTATGAATCCCAGCTCCGGGACCTAGAGCGGCAGTCAGAGCAGAGACCTTGCTCGCGGCGGCAGGAGTTCCAGCGGGCGCAGGCGGCAAGGGCAGGGGCTCCTGGGAAGGCCTGACCCTGTCCTGGGGGGTGGGGGGGAGGAATGAGGCAGCTCTAGGGTCTATACTGTAGTTAATAAAATGTGAAAATATCTGGCATGTTCTGACCAGCCAAAAAAAAAAAAGAGTCTAAAAAGTACACACACACGCGCGTCTGATTCACTTCGCTGCACACCTGAACCTAACACAACGTTGTAAATCAACCATGCTTCAATTAAAAAAAATTAATTAAAAGATAAGTGACAGATTGGAAGCAAAAAATTTCCAACATGTGCAGCTAATGATCCAGAACATATATAAACAACTCATAAAATAAAACAGCCAACTAGGTGAAAAAGAGAGCAAAAGATTTAAAGAGTTCATTCAGGGAAGAAAACATTAAAAAAAAAATTTATTTTGAAAAGGTAATCCTGCTACTAATATGGGAAATGCATTTAAAATTCCAATCAGGTAACACTTTTCACCCATCAGCTTGACAAAAGTGATGGTATTTGACATGAAGCATTGGTGAGAATAAAGGAAACTAGATACTGCTGCTCACTGCTAGGGCCAATTTAACAGTATTTTCTCAATATCAAGTGCATTCACCAGGACTTCCAGGCTTGGAAGAAACGGTGGCTCCCTAATTTCAAATCAACCCACTCACCCTCCTCCCAAAAGAAAGTAAATCAACAAAGAAAGGAAATAAAACCACACAAGAATCTTTGAATTAACCAAAGCAGAGAAATAATCCAAATTCCAAGAGAAGTCACATCAGATACAGCTACAAGCCTGTGGGTGCAGAGAGTGATGGAGAATAAAATACCAAAATCATATCATAAATGAAGATTAAAAAGATGTTCAAGGGAGAATAGATCCAAATGTAAACTTAATAAAGAACATTGAAGAAAATCCAGAAAGCAACCATGAGAGTGAAAATTAGGTTGAAGAAGTAAAACTGGTCAGAGAGAAAATGGCAGAACTGAAAGATAGGCAAAGGGTTAGCATTTTAAAACTATTTATTAAGTTGGTGCAAAAGTAACTTCAGTTTTGCATTGTTGAACTTTGAATTGTTGACAACTTTACACATGGACATCACCAGATGGTCAACACCGAAATCAGACTGAGTGTATTCTTTGCAGTCGAAGATGGAGAAGCTCCATACAGTTAGCAAAGACAAGACTGGGAGCTGACTGTGGCTCAGATCAGGAACTCCTTATTGCCAAATTCAGACTGAAATTGAAGAAAGTAGGGAAAACCACTAGACCACTCAGGTATGACCTAAATCAAAGCCTTTACAATTATACAGTGGAAGTGACAAATAGATTCAAGGGATTCGATCTGATAGACAGAGTGCCTGAAGAACTATGGATAGAGGTTCATGACATTGTATAGGAGGCAGGGATCAGACCATCCCCAAGAAAGAGAAATGCAGAAAGGCAAAATGGTTGTCTGAAGAGGCCTTATAAATAACTGAGAAAAGAAGAGAAATGAAAGGCAAAGGAGAAAACGAAATATATACCCACCTGAATGCAGAGTTCTAAAGGACAGCAAGGAGAGATAAGAAAGCCTTCCTCAGTGATCAATGCAAAGAAATAGAGGAAACAATAGACTGGGAAAGACTAGAGATCTCTTCAAGAAAATTAGAGATAGCAAGGGAATATTTCATGCAAAGATGGGCTCAATAAAGGACAGAAACGATATGGACCTAACAGAAGCAGAAGATGTTAAAAAGAGGTGGCAAGAATACACAGAAGAACTGTACAAAAAAGATCTTCAAGACCCAGATAATCACAATGGTGTGATTACTCACCTAGAGCCAAACATCCTTAGAAGTGAAGTCAAGTGGGCCTCAGGAAGCATCACTATGAACAAAGCTAGTGGAAGTGATGGAATTCCAATTGAGCTATTTCAAATCCTAAAAGATTTCCACTTTCACTGGAAAGTGCTGCACTCAATAAGCCAGCAAATTTAGAAAACTCAGCAGTGGTCACAGGACTGGAAAAGGCCAGTTTTCATTCCAATCCCAAAGAAAGGCAATGCTAAAGAATGTTCAAACTACCACACAACTGCACTCATCTCACACGCTAGCAAAGTAATGCTCAAAATTCTCCATGTTCTTCAACAGTACATGAACTGAGAACTTTCAGATGGTCAAGCTGGATTTACAAAAGGCAGAGAACCAGAGATCAAATTGCCAACATCCATTGGATCACCGGAAAAGCAAGAGAATTCCAGAAAAACACCTACCTCTGCTTTATTGACTACGCCAAAGCCTTTGACAGTGTGGATCACAATAAACTGTGGAAAATTCTTAAAGAGATGGGAATACCAGACCACCTTAGAAACACCAGACCTCCTGAGAAATCTGTATGCAGGTCAAGAAGCAACAGTCAGAACTGGACATGGAACAGACTGGTTCCAAATTGGGAAAGGAGTACGTCAAGGCTGTATACTGTCACCTGGCTTATTTAATTTATAAGCACAGTACATCATGCGAAATGCCAGTCTGAATGAAGCAAAAGCTGGAATAAAGATTGCCGGGAGAAATATCAATAACCCGAGATACACAGATGACACTACCCTTATGGCAGAAAGTGCTGCTGCTGCTGCTGCTAAGTCATGTCAGTTGTGTCAGACTCTTAGCGATCCTATGGACTGTAGCCCGCCAGGCTCCTCCGTCCATGGGATTCTCCAAGCAAGAGTACTGGAGTGGGTTGCCATTGCCTACTCCAGGCAGAAAGTGAAGAAGAACTAAAGAGCCTCTTGATGAAAGTGAAAGAGCAGTGCTCGCTTCAGCAGCACATATACTAAAATTGGAATGATACAGAGAAGATTAGCATGGCCCCTGCAGAAGGATGACATGCAAATTTGTGAAGCGTTCCATATTTTTCATGGAGGCAACCTAGATGCCCATCAGCAGATGAATGGATAAGGAAGCTATGGTACATATACACTATGGAATATTACTCAGCCATTAAAAAGAATTCATTTGAATCAGTTCTAATGAGATGGATGAAACTGGAGCCCATTATACAGAGTGAAGTAAGCCAGAAAGACAAAGACCAATAGAGTATACTAATGCATATATATGGAATTTAAAAAGATGGTAATGATAACCCTATATGCAAAACAGAAAAGGAGACACAGATACACAGAACAGACTTTTAGACTCTGTGGGAGAAGGTGAGGGTGGGATGTTCTGAGAGAACAGCATTGAAACAAGTATACTATCAAGGGTGAAACAGATCACCAGCCCAGGTTGGATGCATGAGATGGGTGCTCAGGGCTGGTGCACTGGGAAGACCTAGAAGGATGGGATGGGGAGGGAGGTGGGAGGGGGAATCGGGATGGGGAATACATGTAAATCCATGGCTGATTCATATCAATGTATGGCAAAAACCACTACAATTTTTTTAAAATTTACTCATTAAAAAAAAAAAAAGAAAGTGAAAGAGGAGAGTGAAAAAGCTGGCTTAGAACTCAACATTCAAAAAATGAAGAGTAAGGTATTGGGTCCCATCACTTTATGGCAAATAGATGGGGAAACAATTGAAACAGTGACAGTGTCTATTTTGGGGGGCTCCAAACTCACTGCAGATGGTGACTGCAGCCATGAAATTAAAAGATGCTTGCTCCTTGGAAGAAAAGCTATGACCAACCTAGACAGCATATTAAAAAGCAAAGAGGGACTTCCCTGGTGGTCCAGTGGTTAAGAATCCGCATTCCAATGCAGGGGATGCAGGTTTGATCCCTGGTTGGGGAACTAAGATCCCCCATACTGAAACCAGAGAGCTCATGCATGACACTGAAGACCCAGTGAAGCCAAAAATAAATTTAAAAAAATAAATAAAATTCAATTTAAAAAATAAAATTAAAAGAAGAGACATTACTTTGCCGACAAAGATCTAGTCAAAGCTATGGTTTTTTCCAGTAGTCATGTATAAATGTGAGAGTTGGACTATAAAGAAAGCTGTGCAAAGAAGTATTGATGCTTTTGAACTGTGGTGTTGGAGAACTCTTGAGAGTCCCTTGGACTGCAAGAAGATCAAACCAGTCCATCCTAAAGGAAATCAGTCCTGAATATTCATTGAAAGGACTGATGCTGAAGCTGAAACTCCAATACTTTTGGCCACCTCATGGGAAGAACTGATTCACTGAAAAAGACCCTGATGCTGGAAAAGGTTGAAGGCAGGAGGAGAAGGGGATGACAGAGGATGAGATGGTTGGATGGCATCACTGACTCAATGGACATGAGTTTGAGCAAGCTCTGGGAGTTGGTGATGAACAGGGAGGCCTGGCGTGCTGCAGTCCATGGGGTCACGAAGAGTCAGACTGAACAGAGCAAACGAACTGAACTGATTGTTGAAATTTGCCATTTGATATTGAAGTACATTCTTAAATAAGTGTAGTTACATCATTTTCAAGCACATTTCTTGGTTTATAAGATTTTTGCTAGTGAATTATTACTTTATTTTTATTTTATATGTATTTTAGACTATGAAATGATTTTAGACAAAAAGCAAATTCGAGTGATTTTCTTTTTCGAGTAAAAAATGGAGAGCAATTCTTATTCGAGTTCAAAAGCAGCAGGGACAATTTGCAACATCAACAACGCATTTGGTCTGGGAACTCCTAATGAATGTTCAGCGCAATTGTGGTTCAACGAGTTTTGCAAAGGCGATGAGAGCCTTGAAGTTGAGGAGTGCCGTGGCTGGCCATCCAAGGTTGACAATAACCTCAGAGGGTCATCGAAGCTGATCCTCTTACAACTGCAAGAGAGCTTGCCCAAGATCTCAGCATCGACCATTCTACGGTCATTTGGCGTTTGAATCAAATTGGAAAGGTGAAAAAGCTCGGTAAGTGGGTGCCTCATGAGTTGACTGCAAATCAAAAAATCGTCATTTTGAAGAGTCATCTTCTCTTATTCTATGCAACAACAGCGCCCATTTCTCAACTGGATTGTGACATGCGACGAAAAGTGAATTTTTATGACAACCAGCAACAACCAGCTCAGCAGATGGACCAAGAAGGAACT